AGTTGTAGTCGGTGGCGCTGTGGTGGTTGTAGGCGGAGCCGTAGTTGTAGTCGGTGGCGCTGTGGTGGTTGTAGGTGGAGGCGTGGTTGTAGTGGGCGGCGCTGTGGTGGTTGTAGGTGGAGGCGTGGTTGTAGTGGGTGGCTCCGTGGTAGTTGTAGGTGGAGGCGTGGTTGTAGTGGGTGGCGCTGTGGTGGTTGTAGGTGGAGGCGTGGTTGTAGTGGGTGGCGCTGTGGTGGTTGTAGGCGGTGCTGTCGAAGTTGTGAGTGGATATGTTGTAGCAGGTGAAGAGGGACTTGTAGGTGGTGTTGTTGGTGTTGTAGTCGGTGTTGTAGTCGGAGTTGTAGTCGGAGTTGTAGTCGGAGTCGGAGTTGGAGTCGAAGTTGGATCTGGTGACGGAGACGGATGTTAGAAAACAGACCAAATTGGGAAGACATCCTGGAAGTTGTTCTGAGTTTGCACATTAATCAATGGTTGTTTATGTTCAATTTCATGACATGAACTCCAGATCAAACATATATAGAACATTGTGGGCGGCGCTGTGGTAGTTGTAGGCGGAGGCGTAGTACCGGTTGTAGTCGTTGCTGCTGTGGAATTTGACATTAGTTTACATTATCAGCAGACTTTTGTTCAAAATCAGGTTTTAATCCGGGTAAGGAGTTCACAAACCAGCAAATGAACAAGACATTGCCCATGTTACATAAAATTCGCTGGACAGAAAAAACTTCAAATACACGTTTTCCAAACACATTCTAGACAAAGTACCATTAAATATAAATGAAGCGCCCAGATAAACGCCAGAAAATGGCAGGCACAGAGACACACGTACGTAGACAGGACAGGGGATCGTAGGACTCCTCCCAGACTCCATCATTACAGGTGAGACTGCCGTCCCCGCCGTCACCAGTGTACCCTTCTGCGCATTCGTAGTAACACACAGCCCAATGCTTGTAGGGAGGACCAGGGGGGTCACAGTAGAGTAGATCCCTGTCTTCTGGGTCTGGTGGATCCTCACAATCCTCTGTCGGCGATAGAAAAGAAAATTTCGGAGACAAGCGTTATCGAATACATTATAGATAGAAAACAGACAATAATTTGCCACTATTAGACCAGGAATAGTCTATTGTACAAGGCATTGAACAAATTGCTCATGCTACAGCTAACATCTAAACTTTCTTCCCCGCTGCCTTATCCCATAGCCAACTGATAGAGAAGCATATGCCATAAGCAGACAGATGTCAGTGTCATGTTCTTAATATTTCAATGATTCCTGACAGTTTAGGAAATTCAAAGAAGCTTTGAGTGTTGAATGTTCTCCTGAGAGATGTTGTATGGGAGATGAAAGTTAGGGTGATTTGCTTCCGTAGAAGTGGCGAAACGATCCCAACAACTTTTTGAATTTTGACGAGACTGCTTAGGGAGCTCTAGTCACCACCAACCCAGATGTGGCGGCAACCCGTCTTTGCATTCGTAGTTACACTCGTCCCCATGTTTGAAGGGGGCGACACAGTCCATAATGGTGGTGTCTATATTTGGCGGTGGATCACAATCCACTGGTAGTGACAGAAAAAAAACATTCCAAAGACACAATTTCCATCAACGCTAAACGCATTCTCAATGGAAAACAGAAGAATTTGGCCTTAGCTTACACTATCAACCGACGAGTCATATATAGCAAAGTTTCAGACTTAGAACTTTGTGAACCAGGCATTGAACAATGAATTGCGTTACAGCCAACAGGCAATATTGAACCCAATATGTCATCATGCTGCCCAATCCAATAAGTAATAAATAATTCTTAGCCAAATATCTTTTACACTGTCTGAAGACGTTGTAGGTAAGGGAAAATTGTGAAATTCAATCTACCAATTTGAGGATTTTTGATGGTTGCAAAATAGGAAGCATCTTTCTGGGGCCGGGAGGACTTCACACACATGGCATGGATAGACAGATGCGTGAAAAATAGGAAATTATAGGCACTGTTACATACGTACTTTTACATTCCATGGGGGGAGGATTATTCCAAACCCAAACTCCATCCTCGCAGGTCACCATGTCGCCGGTGCCGCCGTCTGGATCCGGACAGTACCCTTGGAAGCAATAGTACTCACACTCGTCCCCATGTTTGAAGGGGGGGAAACAGTTTACATTGGCGTTGTCTAGCATTGGTGGTAGACCACAATCCACTGGTAGTGAAAGAAAACAACATTCGATAGACACAATATTCAACTCTAAACGCATTCTAGATGGAAAAACAGAAAAATTTGGCCTTAGCTTACACTATCAACCGACGAGTCACATATAACAAAGTTTCACATTTAGAACTTTGTGAACCAGGCATTGAACAAGGAATTGCGTTACAGCCAACAGGCAATATTGAACCCAATATGTCATCATGCTGCCCAATCCAATAAGTAATAAACAATTCTTAGCCAAATATCTTTTACACTGTCTGAAGAAGACGTAGGTAAGGGAAAATTGGGAAATTCAATCTAGCAATTTGAGGATTTTTGATGGTTGCAAAATAGGAAGCATCTTTCTGGGGCCGGGAGGACTTCACACACATGGCATGGATAGACAGATGCGTGAAAAACATATAGGCACTGTTACATACTTACTTTTACATTCAATGGGAGGAGGATTATTCCAAACCCAAATTCCATCCTCGCAGGTCACCATGTCGCCGGTGCCGCCTTCTGGATCCGGACAGAACCCGGCGAAGCAATGGTAGTCACACACGTCCCCATGTTTGAAGGGGGCGACACAGCCGTCCAGGTCGGCGTAGTCTAGCATTGGTGGTGGACCACAATCCACTGGTAGTGACAGAAAACAACATTCGATAGACACAATTTTCAACTCTAAACGCATTCTAGATGGAAAAACAGAAAAATTTGGCCTTAGCTTACACTATCAACCGACGAGTCACATATAACAAAGTTTCAGATTTAGAACTTTGTGAACCACCCATTGATAAAGTTACAGCCAACAGGCAATATTTAACTCAATGTATTAATTTTCTTCATGCTGCCTAATTCCATAAGTAACAAACAATTCTTAGCCAAATACCTTTTACACTGTCTGAAGAAGTCGTAGGTAAGGGGAAATTTGGAACATTTTGGGAAATTCAACCTGGCAATATGATGGTAGTGACGGTTGCAAAATAGGAAGCATCTTCCTGGGGTTGGAAAGACTTCACACACACATGGCATGGATAGACAGATGCGTGAAAAATAGGAAATCATAGGCACTGTTACATGCTTACTTTTGCATTCAATGGGAGGAGGATTATTCCAAACCCAAACTCCATCATCGCAGGTCACCATGTTGCCGGTGCCGCCGTCTGGATCCGGACAGAACTCAGGGAAGCAATGGTAGGTACACTTGTCCCCATGCTTGTAGGGGGCGACACAGCCGTCTAGGTCGGCGTAGTCTAGCATTGGTGGTGGACCACAATCCACTGGTGGTGACAGAAAACAACATTCGATAATTGGATAGACAGATGCGTGAAAAATAGGAAATTTCATGTTATTTTATGACGATTTACCACATTTGTGGAAGGATTGACATAACAGGTGACTATCACCTCTTCAAAGATGTCAAACCTGAGACCGGACTGTAATGTTTGAACCACTCACACCGGGAACGTCCCCTACTCTTTTCGATAAGTGCGGTGGGTTCTTTAACGTGCGTGGGGTTCGGCTCTCCCAAACACGGGACCTCCATTTAACGTCCTATCCTAGGGACGTCCCTAACCGAAGCTAGGTACTCATATCCACCTTATGCTGAGGTCACATTTCCAAAACAGGGCCCGGCCGGGTAGTCTTATGAAACGAAAAGTATGATGTAAAAGACAACACAGCACAAAAAAGGCGGCAAAATTAATAATTGGAACTCTTTGCGTATATTACTGATGTAAATTATTGATTTTTCATTAATCGAAGCAGCCCGGCCGGGCCCCGGTTTGGAGATGTGACCTCAGCATTTAAGTGAAGTGAGGAAAGTCGTGTAAAGTGCCTTTCCCAAGGGCACAAGATCGGTGGCATCGGGCAGGATTCGAACCCTCGCCCTCTCGAGTCTGGGTCGAAGACGCTACCGCTACGCCACACGACCCCACTATTATAGGCACTGTTACATACGTACTTTTACAGACCATGGGAGGAGGATTATTCCAAACCCAAATGCCATTATTACAGGTCGCCATGTCGCCGGTACCGCCGTCTGGATCCGGACAGAACTCAGGGAAGCAATGGTAGGTACACTTGTCCCCATGTTTGTAGGGGGCGACACAGCCGTCTCGGATGGCGTAGTCTAGCATTGGTGGTGGGCCACAATCCACTGGTGGTGACAGAAAACAACATTCGATAGACACAATTTTCAACGCTAAACGCAATTCTAGATAGAAAACAGAGGAATTTGGCCTTGGCTTACACTATCAACCGTACCGACGAGTCATATATAACAAAGTTTCAGATTTAGAACTTTGTGAAGCAGGCATTGAACAAGGAATTGCGTTACAGCCAACAGGCAATATTGAACCCAATATGTCAGCATGCTGCCCAATCCCATAAGTAATAAATAATTCTTAGCCAAATATCTTTTACACTGTCTGAAGAAGTCATAGGTAAGGGAAAATTGGGAAATTCAACCTGGCAATTTGATAATTTTTGATGGTTGCAAAATAGGAAGCATCTTCCTGGGGTCGGGAAGACTTCACACACACATGGCATGGATAGACAGTTGCGTGAAAAACAGGAAACAGTGTAGGCACTGTTACATACTTACTTTTACAGATCATGGGAGGAGGAGTATTCCAAAACCAAAATCCATCATTGCAGGTCACCATGTCGCCGGCGCCGCCGTCTGGATCCGGACAGAACCCAGCGATGCAATGGTAGTTACACTTGTCCCCATGTTTGTAGGGGGCGACACAGCCGCCTCGAATGGCGTTGGGTAGCACTGGAGGTGGGCCACAATCCACTGGTAGTGACAGAAAACAACATTCGATAGATACAATTTTCAACGCTAAACGTATTCTGGATGGAAAACAGAAGAATATGGCCTCAGCTTACACTATCAACTGACGAATCATATCTAACAAAGTTTCAGATTTAGAACTTTGTGAAGCAGGCATTGAACAATGAATAACGTTACAGCCAACAGGCAATATTGAGCCCAATATTTTAAGTGTCTCCATGCCGCCTAATCCCATAACTATTAAACAGTTCATAGCCAAGCAGCTAAGTCAGTGTGCTAATATGTTTTATTTACACTGTGTGAAGGATTAGTGCCTAAAGATTGGGAAATTCAATCTAGCAATTTAAGGATTTTTGATGGTTGCAAAATAGGAAGCATCTTCCTGGTACCGGGAAGACTTCACACACAGATGAAATGTAGAGACAGATGCGTGAAAAAGAGGAAACAATAAGCACTTTTACATACGTACTTTTACAGACCATGGGAGGAGGATTATTCCAAAACCAAATTCCATTGTTGCAGATCACCAGGTCGCCGGCTCCTCCGTCTGGATCCGGACAGAACCCAGCGATGCATGTGTAGGTACACACCTCCCCATGTTTGAAGGGGGCGACACATCCGCCTCGGATGGTGTTGGCTAGCACTGGAGGTGGGCCACAATCCACTGGTAGTGACAGAAAACAACATTCGATAGACACAATTTTCAACGCTAAACGCATTCTAGATGGAAAACAGAAGAATTTGACCTCAACTTACACTATCAACCGACCAGTCATATATAACAAAGTTTCAGATTTAGAACTTGGTGAACCAGGCATTGAGCAATGAATAATGTAACAGCCAACAGGCAATATGAATCCAATGTTTTAATTTTCTTCATGCTGCCTAATACCATCAGTAATAAACAATTCTTAGCCAAACATCTTTTACTCTGTCTGAAGACGTCGTAGGTAAGGGAAATTTGGAACAGTTTGGGAAATTCAATCTACCAATTTGACGGTTGCGAAATAGGAAGGCCGGGAAGACTTCGACACACACATGATGACATGGATAAACAGATGCGTGAAAAATAGGAAATTATAGACACTGTTACATGCTTACGTTTACAGACCATGGGAAAGTTATTCCAAACCCAAAATCCATCATCGCAGGTCACCATGTCGCCGGTGCCGCCGTCTGGATCCGGACAGAACCCGGCGATGCAATGGTAGTTACACTTGTCCCCATGTTTGTAGGGGGCGACACATCCGCCTCGGATGGTGTTGGGTAGCACTGGTGGTGGGCCACAATCCACTGGTAGTGACAGAAAACAACATTCCATAGACACAATTTTCAACGTTAAACGCATTCTAGATGGAAAACAGGGAGGGATTCGGTCTCAGCTTACACTATCAACCGACGAGTCATATATAACAACGTTTTAATCTACAAAATGTAGAACTTGGTGAACCAGGCATTGGACAATGAATTGCGTTACAGCCAACAGGCAATATTGAGCCCAATATTTAATGTGTTCATGCTGCCTAATTCCATAAGTAATAAACAATTCTTAGCCAAACATCTTTTACAGTGTCTGAACAAGTCGTCGCTAAGGGAAATTTTGGAACAGTTGGGGAAATTCAACCTGGCAATTTGATGATTTTGACGGTTGCAAAATAGGAAGCATCTTCCTGGGGTCGGAAAGACTTCACACACACATGGCATGGATAGACAAATGCGTGAAAAATAGGAAATTATAGACACTGTTACATACTTACGTTTACAGACCATGGGAAAGTTATTCCAAACCCAAATTCCATCATCGCAGGTCACCATGTTGCCGGTGCCGCCGTCTGGATCCGGACAGAACCCAGCGATGCAATGGTAGTTACACTTGTCCCCATGTTTGTAGGGGGCGACACATCCGCCTCGATTGGTGTTAGCTAGCACTGGTGGTGGGCCACAATCCACTGGTAGTGACAGAAAACAACATTCGATAGACACTTTTTTTTCATCAACGTTAAACGCATTCTAGATGGAAAACAGAAGAATATGGCCTCAGCTTACACTATCAACCGACGAGTCATGTCTAACGAAGCTTCAGATTTAGAACTTTGTGAAGCAGGCATTGAACAATGAATAACTTTACAGCTAACAGGCAATATTGAACCCAATATTTTGATTTTCTTCATGCTGCCAAATCCAATAAGTAATAATTCTTAGCCAAACACCTTTTACACTGTCTGAAGAAGTCGTGGCTAAGGGAAAATTTGCAACAATTTGGGAAATTCAAACCTGGCAATTTGAGGATTTTTGATGGTTGCAAAATTGGATGCCTCTTCCTGGGGCCGGGAAGACTCCACACACACATGACATGGATAGACAGATGCGTGAAAAACAAGAAATAGTATAGGCACTGTTACATACTTACTTTTACATTCTATGGGAGGAGGGTTATCCCAAACCCAAACTCCATCCTCGCAGGTCACCATGTCGCCGGCGCCGCCGTCTGGATCCGGACAGAACCCAGCGATGCAATGGTAGTTACACTCGTCCCCATGTTTGTAGGGGGCGACACAGCCGTTTTGATTGGCGTTGTCTAGCACTGGTGGTGCGCCACAATCCTCTGGTAGTGACAGAAGAAAACATTCGATACACACAATTTTCATCAGCGTTAAACGCATTCGCAATGGAAAACAGGGAGGGATTCGGTCTTAGGTTACACTATCAACCGACCAGTCATATATAACAAAGTTTCAGACTTAGAACTTTGTGAACCAGGCATTGAACAATGAATAACGTTACAGCCAACAGGCAATATTGACCCAATATTTTAATTTTCGACATGTGCCTAGTCCCATAAGTAATAAACAATACTTAGCCAAACACCTTTTACACTGTCTGAAGAAGTCGTAGCTAAGGGGAAATTTGGAACAGTTTGGGAAATTCAACCTAGCAATTTGAGGATTTTAGACGGTTGCGAAATAGGAAGAATCTTCCTGGGGCCAGGAAGACTTCACACACACATGGCATGGATAGACAGATGCGTGAAAACCAGGAAACGATAGGCAATGTTACATACGTACTTTTACATTCTATGGGAGGAGGATTATCCCAAACCCAAACTCCATCCTCGCAGGTCGCCTTGTTGCCGGTGCCGCCGTCTGGATCCGGACAGAACCCGTTTTTGCATTCGTAGTTACACTCGTCCCCATGTTTGTAGGGGGCGACACAGTCTATGATGGTGTTGTCTATATTTGGCGGTGGATCACAATCCTCTGGCAATGACAGAAAAAAATTCCAAAGACACAATTTTCATCAACGTTAACCGCATTCTAGATGAAAAACAGGGAGGGATTCGGTCTTAGCTTACACTATCAACCGACGAGTCACATAAAACAAAGTTTCAGACTTAGAACTTTGTGAACCAGGCATTGAACAATGAATAACGTTACAGCCAACAGGCAATATTGACCCAATATTTTAATTTTCTACATGTGCCTAGTCCCATAAGTAATAAACAATTCTTAGCCAAACATCTTTTACACTGTCTGAAGAAGTCGTCGCTAAGGGAAAATTTGGAACAGTTTGGGAAATTCAACCTGGCAATTTGAGGATTTTTGATGGTTGCAAAATAGGATGCCTCTTCCTGGGGTTGGGAAGACTTTACACACACATGGCATGGATAGACAGATGCGTGAAAAACAGTTAACAGTGTAGTCACTGTTACATACGTACTTTTACATTCTATGGGAGGAGGATTATCCCAAACCCAAACTCCATCCTCGCAGGTCGCCATGTTGCCGGTGCCGCCGTCTGGATCCGGACAGAACCCGTTTTTGCATTCGTAGTTACACTCGTCCCCATGTTTGAAGGGGGCGACACAGTCAATAATGGTGTCGTCTATATTTGGCGGTGGATCACAATCCTCTGGTAGTGACAGAAGAAAACATTCGATAGACACAATTTTTATTAACGTTAAACGCATTCTTGTTATTGGACTGAGCAGAGCACTTTGGACTAATCTCTCCGGCTGTTTACAGCCAAGAGGTACATATCCAATATTTTGTCAAAAACTTCTCTGCCATAGCGGATCATAATTCACGCTCAATATCTCAAAGATCTCAATATTCTAGACGAAATCTTGAGATCTTATGTGACAATCTCAAGATCTTTCAGAAAATCTTAAGATGAAAACGAAAGGTCTCAAGATATTTCTAAACCATCTTGAGATTTTTCCATAGCATCTCGAGATGATTTTTTGGCAATTTTCAACCTAAAAATATACATTTTGGGATCTGGAGCCCTGGTAATAAAACCAAATGACCTGAAATTTGGTATGGGGATACCTTGGACATATGTCTACAAAACCTCATGCAAGGTTTTGACATACACCACTTTAAAATTGTGAAAAATAGGGCTTTTTGACTATTTTCGCTCCTGTGCCCTAATATTAAATCCAAATGACCTGAAATTCGGTATGGGGATACCTTGGACACATGTCCAAAGAATGCAATTGACGCTTTTGACATACACGACTTTAAAACTGTGTGAAATATGGCTTTTTGGCTATTTTCAGACAAAAAATGTTTATTTTTGGCTATTGTGCCCTAATGTTAAATCCGAATAACCTGAAATTGGGGCCGGGAAGACTTCACACACATGGCATGGATAGACAGATACGATTAAAACAGTAAACGGTAGGCAAATGTTACATACGTACTTTTACATTCCATGGGGGGAAGATTATTCCAAAACCAAACTCCATCCACGCAGGTCACCATGTTGCCGGTGCCGCCGTCTGGATCCGGACAGTACCCAGCGATGCATGTGTAGGTACACTCGTCCCCATGTTTGTAGGGGGCGACACAGTCTATGATGGTGTTGTCTATATTTGGCGGTGGATCACAATCTAGTGACAGAAAACAACATTCGATAGACACAATTTTTATCAACGTTAAACGCATTCTTATTATTGGACTGAGCAGAGCACTTTGGACTAATCTCTCTGGCTGTTTACAGCTTAGAGGTACATATCCAATATTTTGTCAAAAACGTCTCTGCCATAGCGGATCATAATGACCCCCAGCGGGGGGCTTCACGCTTCGTTAAAATTGGACACACTCAAGATATATTCCAAAGATCTCAATATTTTAGACGAAATCTTGGGATCTTATGTGGCGGTGTTTATATATGAACGCGATAGCTAAAAAAACTTATTAAACAACCACCCGATGAGCATGTCCTGGCTGAAAGGGAAATTTGGGAGTAGATTCGGATTTTAATCTTGCAATCTAACAAAAAGCACTTCCTATCAGACTTAAAGGTCTTCATTCATTTATTCATATTATCTTTATCACAATGTCATTTCATTGGCATACATAACACTGCTTGAAAGATACATACGTATGGTAGTTGTAGTCTGAAGCGTAGTAGTAGTGGGTGGCTCCGTTGTAGTTGTAGGTGGAGGCGTGGTTGTAGTGGGTGGCTCTGTGGTGGTTGTGGGTGGCGCTGTGGTGGTTGTAGGCGGAGCTGTAGTTGTAGTCGGTGGCGCTGTGGTGGTTGTAGGCGGAGCCGTGGTTGTAGTGGGCGGCGCTGTGGTAGTTGTAGGTGGCGCTGTGGTAGTTGTAGGTGGAGGCGTAGTACCGGTTGTAGTCGTTGCCGCTGTGGAATTTGGCATTAGTTTACATTATCAACAGACTTTTGTTCAAAATCAGGTTTTAATCCGGTTAATGAGTTCACAAATCAGCAATTGAACAAGACATTGCCCATGTTACATACAATTCGCTGGACAAAAAAAACTTCAAATACACGTTTTCCAAACACATTCTAGACAAAGTACCATTAAATATAAATGAAGCGCCCAGATAAACGCCAGGAAACGGCGGGCACAGAGACATACGTACGTAGACAGGACAGGGGATCGTAGGACTCCTCCCAGACTCCATCATTACAGGTGAGCCCGCCGTCCCCGCCGTCACCAGTGTACCCTTCTGCGCATTCGTAGTGACACACAGCCCAATGCTTGTAGGGAGGACCAGGGGGGTCGCAGCCGGTTAGATCCCTGTCTTCTGGGTCTGGTGGATCCTCGCAATCCTCTAGCGGTGATAGAAAAGAACATTTCGGAGACAAACGTTATCGAATACATTGTAGATAGAAAACAGACAAGAATTTGCCACTATTAACGGATTTAGTTGTTCAAAGATCAAGAATAGTCTTTTGCACAAGGCATTGAAGAAATTAAAGCATTGGTCATGTTACAGCTAACTTTCTTCCCCGCTGCCTTATCCCATAGCCAGCTGATAGAGAAGTATATGCCATAAGCAGACATATGTCAGTGTCATGTTCTTAATATTTCAATGATTCCTGACAGTTTAGGAAATTCAAAGAAGCTTTGAGTGTTGATTGTTCTCCTGAGAGATGTCGTATGGGAGAAGAAAGTAACAACGATTTTCTTCCATGGAAGCTTAGTGGCGAAACACTCCCAACAAGATTTCGTAAACTTTTTTAATTTTGACGAGACTGCTAAGGGAGCTCTGGGCAGCTCCAACCCAGATGTGGCAGCAACATTCCATTTTTGGTCTTAATCTGGCTCTGCACTGTGACAGAGAGAGTTTGATACATTAGGGTGAGACAAAGGACGGCAGGAATGGAATCATGAATTTTTACATACGTACTTTTACATTCCATGGGGGGAAGATTATTCCAATCCCAATTTCCATCATTGCAGGTCGCCATGTCGCCGGTGCCGCCGTATGGATCCGGACAGAACCCGTTTTTGCATTCGTAGTTACACACGTCTCCATGTTTGTAGGGGGCGACACAGTCTCTGATGGTGTCGTCTATATTTGGCGGTGGATCACAATCCTCTGGCAGTGACAGAAAAAAACATTCCACAAAAGACACAATTTTCATCAATTTTCATTCTACACTATCAACCGACAAGTCACATACAACAAAGTTTCAGATTTAGAACTTTGTGAACCAGGCATTGAACAATGAATAACGTTACAGCCAACAGGCAATATGAACCCAATGTTTTAATTTTCCTCATGCTGCCTGACCCCATAAGTAATAAACAATTCTTAGTCAAACATCTTTTACACTGTCTGAAGAAGTCGTGGCTAAGGGAAAATTGTGAACAGTTTGGGAAGTTCAATGTAGCAATTTGAGGATTTTTTACTGTTATAAAAATATAAAATAGGAAGGCCGGGAAGGCTTCGACACACACATGACATGGTTAGACAGGAAAACAGGAAAAACAGAAAACGGCAGGCACTGTTACATACGTACTTTTACATTCCATGCGGGGAAGATTATTCCAAACCCAAATTCCATCATCGCAGGTCACCATGTTGCCGGTGCCGCCGTCTGGATCCGGACAGTACCCAGCGATGCATTCGTAGTTACACTCGTCCCCATGTTTGTAGGGGGCGACACAGTCTATATTGGTGTTGTCTAGCACTGGTGGTGGATCACAATCCACTGGTAGTGACAGAAAACAACATTCAATTTTCAACGCTAAACGCATTCTGGATGAAAAATTTGGCCTCAGCTTACACTATCAACCGACGAATCATGTATATAACAAAATTTCAGATTTAGAACTTTGTGAACCAGGCATTGATAAAGTTGCAGCCAACAGGCAATATTTACCTCAATGTTTTAATTTTCTTCATGCTGCCTAACCCCATAAGTACAGTAATAAACAATTCTTAGCCAAACACCTTTTACACTGTCTGAAGAAGTCGTAAGTAAGGGGAAATTTGAAACAGTTTGGGAAATTCAATCTAGCAATTTGATGGTAGTGACGGTTGCAAAATAGGAAGCATCTTCCTGGGGCCGGGAAGAATTCACACACACATGGCATGGATAGACAGATGCGTGAAAAATAGGAAATCATAGGCACTGTGACATACGTACTTTTACATTCAATGGGAGGAGGATTATTCCAAACCCAAATGCCATTATCGCAGGTCACCATGTCGCCGGTGCCGCCATTTGGATCCGGACAGAACTCAGGGAAGCAATGGTAGTTACACTTGTCCCCATGTTTGTAGGGGGCGACACAGCCGTCTAGGATGGCGTAGTCTAGCATTGGTGGTGGGCCACAATCCACTGGTAGTGACAGAAAACAACATTCGATAGACACAATTTTCAACGCTAAACGCATTCTGGATGGAAACAAGAATTTGGCCTCAGCTTACACTATCAACCGACGAATCATGTATATAACAAAGTTTCAGATTTAGAACTTTGTGAACCAGGCATTGATAAAGTTACAGCCAACAGGCAATATTTACCTCAATGTTTTAATTTTCTTCATGCTGCCTAACCCCATAAGTAATTAACAATTCTTAGCCAAGCACCTTTTACACTGTCTGAAGAAGTCGTAGGTAAGGGAAATTTGGAACAGTTTGGGAAATTCAATCTACCAATTTGACGGTTGCAAAGTAGGAAGGCCGGGAAGACTTCGACACACACATGACATGGATAGACAGATGCGTGAAAAATAGGAAATTATAGACACTGTTACATACTTACGTTTACAGACCATGGGAAAGTTATTCCAAACCCAAATTCCATCATCGCAGGTCACCATGTTGCCGGTGCCGCCGTCTGGATCCGGACAGAACCCAGCGATGCATGTGTAGGTACACACCTCCCCATGTTTGTAGGGGGCGACACATCCGCCTCGGATGGTGTTGGCTAGCACTGGTGGTGGTGGATCACAATCCTCTGGTAGTGACAGAAAACAACATTCCAAAGACGTTGGTACAAAGTTTCAAATTTAGTATTTTATGGACCGGGAATTGAACAAGGCATACATGTAATTGGACAAAAACAAGAAATTGGTACACAAACTGTTACATATTACGTACTTTTACATTCCATTAATGGGGGATTTATCGGAACCCATGTTCCATCATCACATTCCACCTCGTTGCGGCCGCCGTCAGTAGTGTATCCGTCTCTGCATGTGTAGCTACATTTCTCGCAATGTTCGTAAGGCCACCCACAGCCGTCTTGCAAGGCGTTAAGTGGCCTTGGTGGTAGATCTTCACAACGCCTTCCCACTGATAGGACAAAAAACATTGGGAAGACACAATTTTCAGACTCATTCTAGACAACAACACCAGAAAAAAACATGTTCTTAGTTTACACCAATGATGTTTAACTTCTTGATTCCACATCAAATTTGTTTCACAAAATTGTTTCTTTTCGTTGTCTTAAATATTCATTGGCAAAAATATTATTATTTTTAAATATAAATGTAATTACATTTGTTTTGTCTTTTGTTGAAACTGACTACATATTTTTTTCTGTTCATTTGGATCTATAATGGCATTACAAACGGTAATCATTATCATCCTTAATAAATCACATTCTTAATTTCGACGAGGCCCTCGACAATCCTCAAGGTTTAATAAACCGCGAAAACTACCAGGAAATAGAATGCACCGTAACATACATACCTCTACATGTCAGGCGGCCCCCAGGCCCAAAAAATACCCAGATTCCACCCGCCCCACACTCCACATTGTACGAGCCCTCGGCATAAATTCTCTTTGGTTTGCATTCATAGTCACACAAGGTCCCAACTAGGTAGGGGGGGCCAAATCTGTCGCAGCCCAATAGTTCGGCGAAGGCCCCTGGCGTAGGTGGTTCATCGCAACCGATTCCTGGTCCTCCCCCTTGTCCTGACAACATTCGAAATGCTCATGTTACATCTAACACGTAATAATCAAATATTTCACACTGTATGGAAATCTAAGACTCTAAAATCTAAGTTGGAAGCCTCTTCCTAGGAATAGGTCATGGCATACACGGCATGGATATACAGAGGCGTGAAAAACAGTCAGGAAACGGAAGGCACTGTTAGTGTTACATACACAGTAGTATTATTACGTACCTTCGTTACATTCCATGGGAGGAAGTCTATTCCAATCCCAAACTCCATCATCGCAGGTCACCATGTTCCCGCCGCCGTCTGGATTGAACCCGGCGATGCATGTGTAGGTACACACCACCCCATGTTTGTAGGGGGCGACACAGCCGCCTCGGATGGCGTTGGCTAGCACTGGTGGTGGATTACAATTCTCTGGAAGGGGCAGAAAACAACATTCCAAAGAGGCAATTTTAAAAGAGAAAATTTGCGACAGATTTGGATTCCGCGATTCCAATGTAACAAAAACAAGAAGCCATAGGTGACAATCCTCCGTGAAGTTTTATATTTTGCAACAAAAATAACCCCAAGCGTCAACGCCAGACCTACTGTGCAGACATTAGGCAGACCATAAAACATAAAAAGACCTAAATCCATTACTGCTCTCAGGACGTGTAAAGATACTGTGCTTCAAATTCGAAGTTCATTTTAATCACTCACACAATCATTGCATTCACATAAAGATCGGACTATCATGGTAGTGTCACTAGTAAGAAAGACAGTCCCAGCGTCTTACCATTCCTGTTATATCACTTAAATAAGGAATACTTATCATAAGCAAATAATCTGAAAAAGTTGCCAGACAAACATTAAACAGTTACATAATGGCCAACAGTTGCACTTTATGGCCCTTTATCAGTAAAGCCACTCGTTTATCAGTAAAAGAGTGGGGTCTTGTGGCGCAGTCGGTAGCGCGTTCGGCTCACACCCCAGAGGTCGCGGGTTCGAACCCCACATTGTGCACCGATCTTGTGCCCTTGGGAAAGGCACTTTACACGACTTTCCTCACTTCACTCATGTGTAAATGAGTACCTAGCTTCGGTTAGGGACGCCCCTCGGATAGGGGAAACATCATGGCGCAGGTCCAGACATGCTGCTGGCTGCCATGATGCCCCTACGACCGCTCACGGTTATGGGTCTTCCATACATACATACATCAGTTAAGCGCGACTGGCCTGGCCAAAAACCAGTTAGCAATATTAATTAGCAACATTTGCAGCCAGCACCGCGAGTTACTACCGGTCACATACCCGGGCGAAAACATCTCAACGACATTACGGGGATGTTTCAAAAATAAGCATTTACTCCAGTATCAAAACAGCTATTGTAAAAATAAAAAGACGTGCATCACCGCGGACATAATGACACACCACATGCCAAATTACACAGAAATACTACGCACAGAACAATGCGTTTTGGCTGCGAAGACGTATGGTACCACTTATCGACCCCTCCGCACGACTGCATGAAGTTCCACCCCCCCCACCGCTATTCCAAACAACGGGGTTTTCTGGAGCATTCCCATTTGCCTCACAATTGTAGGGGTGCATCTGCAATATTACCTTGACCTCGAAAGCAGCAACGGCAAAAATACACATTCGTGCATCAACACGGGCATGACCGCAGACAGCGTATAAAATTGCGTGCCGATTACACAAGGAGAACCCAGTGTTTTGACTGCGAACACAAAAAAAACAGCTACTCACAACACTCCGTCCGGAGGTCCTGACCTCCTTCACGGAGTAACAAGTAGCCATAGGCGACAATTCTCCGTGAAGTTTTATATTTTGCAGATTGGGAACAGTAGGACGAAGTATTAAAACGGTACCCGCCCGACCGGCGGTTTAATCGCAACGTACAGGCCCATCGGCCGGACGAGAACATGTCAACGACATTATAGGAGTGTTTCTGAAATAGAAATTTACTTTAAAATGAAAAGTGCTACGGTAAAAAGAAAAAAAGTGCATCATCGCGAAAATAATGGAACACTAAATTCCAGAGAAATACAACGGAGACAACCATGACTTTTAGCTACGAACACATTTCAAAACAGCTCCCATAGTTAAACAACAGGCGACCCACAGCTGTTTCTAATTAACGACCCACCCTAGCGTCTGCATGAAGGAACCCCCCCCCCCCCATGCAAAACAATGTTTTTATTGCGGCCAGTCCCATATGCCTCTTAAAAGTAGGGGTGCCTATATAGGGGGTGCTGAAATATTACATTGTCCACGAAAACAGCTACGGTGAAAATAAAAATACGTGCATGATCACGGGCATGTCTGCAGACTACGTATAAAGTCACATGCCGAATAAACAAAGGGAACCGTGGTTTTAGCTGCGAACGCGAAAAACCGACTGACCACAATACTCCTGCAGAAAGGATACCTCCCTCGCGGAGTAACAAGAATTCCCGACTACTAGTTGCGAAATAGGAAGCCTCTCTTTCAGAGAATGCTTCACACACATGAATGGAAGCGTGCAAACAGTCAGGAAACGGTAGGCACTTTGATATACGTACTTTTACATTCCATGTGGGGAAGTCTATTCCAATCCCAAACTCCATCATCACAGGTCACCGTGTCACCACCACCGTCTGGAGTGAACCCGGGTTTGCATGTGTAGGTACACTCCTCATCATGGTTGTAGGGGGCGAAGCAGCCGTTCCGATCGGTGTTGTCTACATTGGGTGGTGGACCACAATCCTCTGGTAGGGACAGAAAACAACATTCCAAAGAGGCAATTTTAAAAGAAGAAATTTGGGACAGATTTGGATTCCGATTCCAATGTAAAAAATAAGAATTCCCCACAACTACATGTAGTTTCGGAAGCCTATTCCAGAGAATATCTCACAAACATGGCATGGATGGAAGCGCGAAAACAGTCAGGAAATGGTAGGCACTGTGACATACGTACTTTTACAGACCATGGGAGGATTATTCCAAACCCAATTTTAGACATGTTCTAGAAAGAAAATATGAAGAACTTCGTCTTAGTCAACCGACGACCGAAACAAGATTTATTTTGATCAACCGTTACACCCCCCCCCCCCCTTTTCAACGTACTACTACAACCATGAAGGTAGGATACTTACCCTTACAGTCCAGGTCGTCCCCAATCCAAGTTCGATTATAGCAGGTCTTGAGGTTGTCGCCGCCGTCTTCAGTGTACTCTGGTTTGCATTCGTAGATACATATCTCATTTTGCACGAAGGGGTGGACACAGTCGCTTAGGATGGTGTTGGGAACATTTGGTGGTCGAGGGCAATGATCTAGAAGTGATAGGAAATTGTGGTCACTTGGATGAAACTGGTTAAGGACTTTCAATATAATATAACAATCTAATCATGATCCCCGACTATAGTGAAATTGAAAGCCGCCTCCAAAGGAGACATCACATACACGACGAAAACCGTCAGTAAACAGTAGGCACTATGACATATACGTACCCTCACAGACCAGTTGGTTCCCTTCCCAGACCCCTTCGTTGCACGTCAGACTGTCGTCGCCGCCGGTTTTTAAGTACCCGATTTCGCATAAGTAGTCGCACACCTCCCCTTGTGTGTAGGGGTCGTCACAGCCGGTTCGGATAGTGTTGGCTGGCATTGGCGGTGGGCCACAATCCACTGGTAGTAACAGGAAAGAAAATTCCAAGGGCTCAATTTTTAGCCTGGAATGTCTCAGCAAAACACAGCGTTCACGGATGGATTCCAGGCTACTCAATTTTAAGAAAATGAATACATTCTACACAAAAGCAGGCAAGACTTTGGTTGCTCTTGCACATCTATCAGGTGGCGTATGAGGCTAGTCTTTCCAGGGATTTAGCTATGAAATTTTATCATCATTGTCACTTTGATTTTGGAGGCAACCCTAGGCCTTGTTACTTTCTTGTGCCGAAGAATTTTTGATATTAAAATGTGGGAAAGTTACTTTTATTAGGCCTTGTTTCAGTGTTCATAATAGCTAGCTTGCAATGACCAAACATAATGGTGACAATTGCATTAAAACAGTGATTGTAAGGTACTCACTGGGTTGCTGAGCCGTAGTCGGTGTCGGTGTTGCTGTCTTTTCAGTACAGACCAGGGAGCTTCCGTCCCAGGCTCCATCATTGCAGGTCAGACTGTCGTCTCCGCCGGTTTTCATGTACCCTGCATCGCATCGGTAGTTACACACCTCCCCATGTTTGTAGGGGGATTTACAGCCTTCTCGATCGGTGTTAGACGGCCTTGGCGGAGGATTACAATTCTCTGAGAGGGACAGAAAACAAAACGTCGTACAAACAACCAAACAAGAATGTGGTCTTATCTTATGTTATCAGCCGACGACATACACTCATGTTCATTTTCTTTTTAAGTTCGATACCAGGTTCGACTGAAAACCTTTAGATTTAGTAATTCCTTGGATTAGAGATTCAATATAAAGTAGCAATGTTGGGAATAGAAACTGAGGCTAGAGCATGTGTGCCACATCCGGTTCTGATGAAGACCAATAAAGTACTCCTGGCCTCGCGGCCAGGGCCAGTCTGGAGCTTACTCTCGCCGCAGTGATAAAGCACTATTTCGACACTGTGAACACCGTGACTTCGGATTTGGCTTCCAACCCAGCAGACTAGCGAGATGTCACACACTTGAGATGGAAAGAAATAGCATTCGCTTCCGGCGTTGCTGGTAGCGGATCTTGGGGAGCGAGCAAAAGCTAACAGGGCTGACACTCAGGCTAGAATAGAAGCGTGAGGACAGCCAGGAAACAACGGCAGGCACTGTGACGTACTTACCTTTACAGACCAGCGGGTTCCCGGCCCAGACTTCATTGTTACATGTCAGCCACTTGTCGCCGCTGACTTCAGTGTACCCCCTGAGGCACGTGTATCTGCACTTCTCACCACTTCTGTAAGGGGCTCGACAGGCGGCACGGCGGGTGTTGGGTGGGTTCGGCGGGAAAACAACACAGTCCGCTGTTAAGAAACAACATTGACATACCAATAAAGTCATATCCATGTTCTTGGTTATTTCTTACTAGACTCCAGATTTGACTGACCAGAAAGAATCACTTTTCTTCAAGAAGAATATTTTGCACTTAGCAGTGGCTGAATATGTCATTGTGCATCTAACAAGAAATAACAATATCAATATCTTCAAACTGCCTGAGCAGAGACCATTGCCCTTGATAGAGCTGGCTGGAGAAACCAGACGGAGGGGAGCAAGGGGCGAGTACCTGGCCTGAGCACATAGGCAGGTAGGCAGTAGGCCTGAGCAAATTAAATCTTAACAAGTTGAGACAGATTGCTATTTCAACAAGGGTCTAGCAATATCATTCCCGACAGTTGTTTGAGAGAGGCCTCTTTTAGTGATTATTTCACATCACGGCAAGAATGGTGGTTCCAGGATATGGAACAATAGACACTGCGACTCACGTTTTACACAGACCAATTCCTCCCCGTCCCAGTCTCCATCATTGCAGGTCAGACTGTCGTTGCCGCCGGTTTTTCTGTACCCGGTTTCGCATTGGTAGTTACACATCTCCCCATGTGTGTAGGGGGCGTCACAACCGGTTCGAACGGTGTCGTCTGGTGTTGGCGCCTTTTTGCAGTTCTCTGGTGGTGATAGAAAAGAACAGTAAATATTTTCAACAATTATTATATAATATATGTCTTCCCCCCCTCTCTCTCTATATATATATGTCTCTTTCCCCCTCTCTCTCTTTCTATCACTCTCTCCCTCTCTCTCTCTCTCTCTCTATATATATATATATATATATATATATATATATATATAGAGAGAGAGAGAGAGAGAGAGAGAGAGACATACATGAACATAACATGGGTGGAAAATTGAGGACCGTTAGGTAAGGTGAGGTACTTACCTTTACAGACCAGGGGATCCCCGACCCAGACCCCATTATGGCATGTCAGACTGTCGTCACCGCCGACTTCGGTGTACCCGTCTTTGCATTCGTAGGTGCACACCTCATCATGCCCGTAGGGATTACTGCAGTCTTTTCGGTTGCTGCCGGGTGGCGTTGGTGGTTTTTCACAATTTTCTGGAAGTGAAAAGGCATTGTTGTATTTGAAGTTGTGTGGGATTGCGCTCCATAGCGACTTTTTTGGAACTGCAGGAGTTAATTTCATTTTCACCTGAGACTTTTTAAAGATTATAACTCAAGGAGGGGTGAACAGATTTTCGTGATTTTTTTTATAAGTACTAGGTAGCTTTAGCTATCAACAATCCAAAATTATCCGGACATTCCAAATATGTATTCAGAGGTTGGTTGGGAAGATTGTTACCTTTCTATACATGCCCTGTTTTGTTTTCTCTCGCTACCCCCACCAACCCATTTGTTGGTGGGGTAGCGACAGGAAAAACGGGGCATATGAGAGTGCCTTTTTCCTGTTAGGTGCATCATGCGCAGTGCCTTCGTCAATTCCTGATCCATGATTTACTTAATAATCCGTCGATTTCCCGTTGAACCTGGTATTGACTTGCCATTAGTATGACACTTCAGCTGATACTGTAAACTAAGACCAATTTTTTTCTTGACTAAAAGTTGTTGAACGTCGAAGAATATGATTGGAGAGTAGAAAAAGCAATAATACTGCGTGAGCAAGTCTTGGGACAAATTCAAATTGCTTACGTTTACAGACCAACTGGGGGTCCTCTTCCATATTAGATTTCACATAGTGCACATGGCAAAGTGAAAACAGACAGAGAAAGTGGTAGGCAATGTGACATACTTACCTCTACAGACCAGGGGGACCCCGACCCAGACTCCATTGTCGCAGGTCAGTTCGCGGTCTCCTCCACCTTCAGCGAAGCCTTTCTGGCACTTGTACGTACACACCTCCCCATGTTTGTAGGGGTCGCCACAGCCCTTTCGTTCGGTGTGATCTGGGCTCACAGGTGGATCGCAGTTCTCTAGAAGTGACAGAAAAGAACATACGAAAGACACAGTTTTGAAACTTTACGGCATTTCAGATAGAGCAAGTGTACAGCCTCATACACCCTTTCGTTCAGTGCGATCTGGGTCCATAGATGGCTCGCAATTCAGTCAGACATGGAAAAGAACATTAGTTCAAGTCAGTCTAGATAAAGCAAGCGTACAACCTCATACACCCGCCAAATGATGTTGACTTTTAAGGATGACATGTTATATGGTAGCCACCGTTTCATACTCACTTTGGCAGACCAGGGGATCCCCGACCCAGACTTCACCACTGCAGGTGAGCTTGCTGTCGCCGCTGACTTCAGAGTACCCCGCGATGCATACGTATTTACATTTTTCACCATCGCTGTAAGGTGCTGTACAGTCAGTACGGAGGGTGTTGGGTGGCATTGGTGGGGAAACAGCACACCCCGCTGTTAGAAAACAACATTGATAAGACAAAACTTTCAGACAGAAGAAATAAGAAGTAGAAATTTTGTTTTTAGTTGACAAGCAACGAGTCGTGCTCATGTTCTTGATTAGTTCTTAATTTGACACCAGATTTGACTGGAAAGCATCATGTTTCTTCAAGGTACGTATTTTGCACTTAAGCAGTTCTTGGAGCAGTGACTGAATAAGTTATTGTGCATCTAACAAGACATTACAACAATATTTCACACTGCCTGAGGAAGTCCTGACAACTTGGAACAGATTGCTATTTTAACAAGCTATTGCAGCAATCTACTTCCCTACAGTTGAGAGGAAGAACGCCTCTTGTGATGGTTACTTCCCAAACAAGGCATGGATGTTAGCGTGCAAACCGTCAGGATAGAGAACATTAGAAACTGAGACGTACGTTTTATACAGACCAGGGTGTCCCCGTCCCAGTTTCCATCAATGCAGATCAGACTGTTGTCGCCGCCGGTTTTCATGTACCCGATTTCGCATTGGTAGTTACACACCTCCCCATGTGTGTAGGGGTCATCACAGCCGTTTACAATGGTGTTGTCTGGCGTTGGCGCTTCATCACAATCCTCTGGTAGTGATAGAAAAAAACATTGAATGTTTTCAAATGCTAAACACATTTTTGACAAAAAAGCAATCATAGGAATTTGGTCTTAGCTTTCAATCGACCAGTCATAGTCATATTCATGTCCATTTTGTTAAAAATTGTATACCAGGTTTGATTGGAATTTCAGCCAGGAAATGGTAATCTCCAAGCAGATCCTAGGGTGGCAAAAGACAGTATCAAATTGGCCAAACAGTATCCAATCACCAGAAAGGGGTTAAGGGGTATGGGCCCTGTCTGGCGAATGGATACTACCTGGCCAATTTGATACTGTCTTTGGCCACCCTAGGATCTTCTTGGAGATTAAGAAAATGGTAGGTACCATGAGATACGTACCTTTACAGACCAGTGGATTCCCGGACCAAACCCCATCATGGCAGGTCAGCGTGTCGTCACCGCCGACTTTAGTGTACCCGTCTTTGCATTCGTAGGTGCACACCTCATCATGCCCGTAGGGATTGCTACAGTCTTTTCGGTTCGAGCAGGGTGGCATTGGTGGGTTGTCACAGTTTTCTGGCAGTGATAGAAAAAAAGAACATTCCAAACATACAATTTCCAATGGTCAACAACCTTTAAACAGAACACATTAAAATGTGGTTTTAGTTTACGTTATCAATTGAAGTGTCACACTAATGGCATGTTCATTTGTTCTTAGGTCGATACCAGGTGCCACTTGAAGTATAACAAATCATGAACCAAGAAGGCATTGTGCATGATACATCTAACAGGAAAAAATCAATAATACTGCGTGAGCAAGTCTTGGGACAAATTCGAATTACTTACCTTTACAGACCAGGGGGACCCCGAGCCAGACTCCATTGTCGCAGGTTAGCTTGCGGTCGCCTCCAGCTTCATCGAAGCCTTTCTGGCACTTGTACGTACACACCTCCCCAGGCCTGTAGGGGTCGCCACAGCCCTTTCGTTCGGTGTGATCTGGGCTCACAGGTGGCTCGCAGTTCTCTAGAAGTGACAGAAATTTGAGACCACGTGAAAGACGCAGTTATTAAAGGTCAGGGCATTCTAGATAAAGCAAGTGTACAACCTCATACATCCTTTCGTTCGGTGTGATCTGGGTTCACAGGTGCCTCACAGTTTTCTAGAAGTGACAGAAAAGAACATAGTTTACGAAAGATTCAAAGTTCAAGGCATTCTAGACAAAGCAAGCTTACAACCTCATGCACCCTCCAAATGATGTTGGCTCTTAAAGAGGAATTTGGAGGACTCAGGGTCCTCCACCAATAAAGAAAATATCCCCTGTGAGGATCTAGTAGCTAAATTGACCCCGCACATCCTCCCAACATCATAAATGGATTATAAGCCACGGGGTGTCTGAACCCGACTGCCAGTGGAAACAATGGGAGCAGACGACAGACAGTGATTTGCATATTAACTGACGTTTGAAGTTTTGAAAAATGTTGTATTTTATCTTCACTAGTTTTTCAACAAAACATTGCCATACAAGGAATGAGACAGACAGTTGCAGCAAACCTAAACACAATCCATGTAACATTTACTTGGCAGTCGTTATACACGATAAGGGCCTACAGTTTCCAATTTGAACTATTCCAGCAGAGATGAGCCTCTGTCAAGCTTCAATGTTTGTTTCAAAAACTTATATCTGTAATCACAAATTGCACGTCTTATCCACAGCCAAACTAGATTTCTATTGATATGATAGTTCTATGTTAACAAATATACAATGTAGAAACATGTAGAAACACATTTGGCGGCTTCTTGCATTATATATTAGAATCCAAGTCTGAAATGCTGAATAGATGAAGTCCCAGTTTACCAGGATTGGCATAGTACATGCCTGTGTAGTTATTAGTCTATATTCTTGTTGTTTAGTAAAATACTATATGTACTTTTCATGTACATATCCATGTCTCCACATAATGTTGAAGAGGTGTACTTGGTATACTATCTCAGCCTAGCTCTCCCCATGTGTTCACCACGGCTGCCAGTTGCAGAATGAGCTGTGAGAGTTTACAGTACCCGAATTTATTGGGTGGTTTTATAGTCCAACCTTCCTCTTTAATAAGGATGACATGTTACAAAGGTTTCTTATTATGGTAGCCATCGTGCCATACTCACTTTGGCAGACCAGGGGGTCCCCGACCCAGACTTGGTCTTTGCAGATGAGCTTGCTGTCGCCGCTGACTTCAGTGTACCCATCGGCGCATTCGTATTTACATTTTTCACCATCTCTGTAAGGTGCTGTACAGTCAGTACGGAGGGTGTTGTGTGGACTTGGTGGGGAAACACCACAGCCAGCTGTAAGGAAGACACAACTTTCAAGTTTCAGACAAAAGAAATACGAAGTATGAATTTTGTGTTTGTTGACATATCAAACAACTATTCATGCTCATGTTCTTAATTATTTTTCTTAATTTGACACCACATCTGACTAGAAACCTTGATTTCTCTTTAAGGTTGATACTTTGCTCATGGATCAGTGACTGAATAAGTTATCGTGCCTCTAACAAGAAATTATAACAATATTTCACACCCTGGGACTGCAACTATTCACAATGCAGGACAGATTGCAATTTCAACAATGCTCTAGCAATCTAATTCCCAATTCAGTGATGGTTCTAAAAGAGAAAGCCTGACTTTCAGTGTTTTTTTCACAAACATGTCATGAATGTTGGCGTGAAAACCGCCAGGATAGGGAATAGTAGACACCGTGACATACGTTTTGTACAGGCCAGTTTCTCCCCTATCCAGTCTCCATCATTGCAGGTCAGACTGTCGTCGCCGCCGGTTTTTATGTACCCGAATTCGCATAGGTAGTCACACACCTCCCCATGTGTGTAGGGGGCGTCACAACCGGTTCGAACGGTGCCGTCTGGGTTTGGTGGCTTTTTGCAATTCTCTGTCGGTGATAGAAAAGAACATGCCATACTTTCAAAGTTAAACATATGGTAATATCCATGTTTGTTTTGGTAAAAAATTCTACAGCATGTTTGACTTAAGCTCCAAGCAGATCATACGATGGCAAGGCAGTGTCCATTGGCCAGAGGAGTGTCCATTAGCCACCTAGGTGGCACTCCTCTGGCCAATGGATACTGCCTTGCCATCGTATGATCTGCTTGGAGAGTAGTTTTACTGGGATTTCACATACATTGAATAAATGAGCAGCAAGGAAATGGTAATCTCCAAGCAGATCCTAGGGTGGCCAAAGATAGTATCAAACTGGCCAGACAGTATCCATTGGCCGGAGAGGGTCCATGGACACTGTCTGGCCAATTTGATATTGTCTTTGGTCACCCCAGAATCTGCTTGAAGATTAAGGAAATGGTAGACAATGTGACACGTACCTTTACAGACCAGGGGTGCCCCGAACCAGACTCCACTGTCGCAGGTCAGCCTGTCGTCACCGCCGACTTCGGTGTACCCGTCTTTGCATTCGTAGGTGCACACTTCATCATGCTCGATGGGATAGGTACAATCTTCTCGCTTGGTGCCTGGTGGCGATGGTGGCTTCCCACAATTTTCTGGCAGTGATGAAAAAAAGGGCATTACAAATACGTATTTTCAAGGTTCAACCCTTATACTTGAATATACAACCTGCAAGTTTCTTATACACCCTTAAAACTTATTTTGGCATGATCAGCAAGATCTAAGCAGAAGCAGGCGGAATGGACAATTAGAAAAATCGCGTCAGATTGGGAAAACTCTAGCTACGATTGGAAAGAGCAGAAATTTGCCAAATAGAGAGAGATAAAATGCCAGGAGATCAGAGTTGGTACCCCAGAGAGTACAGTTTGCCGCAAACTGTCACCAGAATGAAGAAGTTGTTGTAGATTCATAGCTATTCGAAGTGCATTATGAACACTTTGGGTTCATTCCAAAAATTAGGACCCACTTATGTTCTCCCTGGAATGCGTAAGAATGCTGTTGGAATGCTGTGGAAATTATCAGAATGCAATCATACTGCAGTTATTATTCTTCAATTTCAATTCACCGGGAAAAATTGAAGTATGACAAGAATGGGCAAAGATATTTAAGAATGTAGTGGGGGTTTCGACAATGCACTTCAAATATCCAGGAGTATACAACTGCGAGGAAATAGTAGGTACTGTGACATACTTACTTTCACAGACCAGGGGGTTCCCAATCCAGACTCCATTGTCGCAGGTAAGAATGTGGTCGCCCTCGGCTCTAGCGTACCCTCCTTTACACTTGTACTTACACACCTCCCCATGTTTGTAGGGGTCGCCACAGCCCTTTCGTATGGTGTTATCTGGGTCCATAGGCGGATCGCAATTCTCTAAAAGTGACAGAAAAGACACATTTTTTCAAAGTTTAACGCATTCTATAAAAAAACCTCATACATTCCCCTATTAAGGATTACAATTACAAAGGTTTGGTATGTAGCTGTAGTGATCTAATGATTGTTTTGCAAATTGGTAGCTAATTTGCATACTTAAGAAGTGATTAGAACTATGCGTTCCATGCTCGATAGAGCATGTGTAAATAAGAAACAGAGGAACATCGATAAATAGCAGTCAGGGATTGAACAACACTGTGCATGATGCACAGGCCTAGGTTATAATGCAATATGGTCACACTGTGTGAGCAAGTCTTGGCTTAAGGGAAAATTTGGGACAGATTCTGATTTTGTACAATCTAACAATAATAGTCTAAGGATTCCAGACGGTCTCAAAATACAAAGCCTCTTCAAGAGAAGATTTCACATCCGTATGGCACTACACGATTAGAGGCGTGAAGATAGAGAGTGAAGAAATGGTAGGACAGTGTCGTACCTTTACAGACCAGGGGGTCCCCGACCCAGACTCCACCACGACAGACCAGCTTCTTGTCTCCGCTGACTTCAGAGTACCCCGCGATACAGACGTATTTACATTTTTCACCATCACTGTAAGGGGCTGTACAGCCAGTACGGTGGGTGTTGGGTGGACTTGGTGGGACAGTAGCACAGCCAGCTGTAAGGAAGCACAACCCGCCAGCACTGTTAGAAAACAACATTGGAAAGACACAATTCCCACACTTATTGTAGACAGAAATATTAGATTCCAAAGCTCCTCGAAGTATGTAACGAACGCATGATGATAACAACGCTTGCTGAAAATTTCAGACATCACATTTTGTTTGTGTTTCATCTCAAAAATAGATTTTGGAAACTTGTTGAAATAGGGTGTGATTGTTTCACCTGTTTCAGCAGAGTTCATATGAGTTCACAGGAACATTGGAACAGAATGTGTATTCTATTTGGGATCATCTGGGGCCATTAGAATAGAGCGAGTCTTCCATTTAAAGTCATTTCATTTGGATGTTACAAGAAAGAAATTAACTTACGGTGGGGTGTTGCGAAAAATGTTTTCCTTCCGCTCAAAATTCACTTGTATTGACATGGTCTTTATTTTGTTATGCATTGCTGAATGAATTAGTTGATGCCAAGACTGTAAACATTCCTATTCAACAAGAAAATATGCTACAAATGTTAGCAAAAAGAGACCACTCCCCCTACATAATGGTTTACCCCCATAATGGTCAAGTCATTCTTCAGTTCCAAACACTAACCTCTGACCTGGCCAATGGTCTGATTTGTTGATGTCTGTCACCATGGTAACTGGTGTTGGGTTACATAATGTTATAGGAGGAATGTGGACTCCTGTCTGACCATATATATGAATGTACATGTATTTGAGTAGGAAGAGCAAACCATATGCGAAGGTAAACATCATGCATTTGCTTTGCAAATGTTACCTTTCTAGTTACTTTTCTTACCTGCGTCCGAGTCCTGAAAAACGGCGCATATCAAAAGGAGCTCGAGTAGAAACACACCGTACAGGAACCTGAAAGTAGAAAGGGGAAAGACTAAAGATATTCCCCCAAAACCTTCATGGAAAATGGAGGTATCGTTTTGGGTCTGTCTGTGAGTCTGTGTGTTTGTCTGTCTGTGTTTCTGTTTAAATGGTTTTATACCACGTCACCGTTTCAATGGCCAAGTGGGTAGAGTGCTCGCCTTCCATTCGGTAGGTCGTGGGTTCGATCCCCAGCCGAGTCATACCAAAGACTTGTAAAATGGTACAAACTCCCTTCTCTGCTTAGCACTCGGTATTTAGGAAAGAGTATGGGAGTTAAGCACACACTATACCAGCGGACTATCCCCCCGATGTGATTGCACGATTGTGTGGCCCAAGGACTACTGAAATGGAGATGGGCACCGCCCTATGCACCACGTAACAAGGACTTTAGCTTAGCATATGAATAATTAAACGGGGATTTGATCATACGATCTCATTGGGGGAAAGGACAGTGAATCACGTAGGTATATATGTAAAATTCCTGATCAGTAGGATTGGGACTAGTAAATGGACATTCCATTGGAATTCTATGCTGAGAAACAAGCAGGTTAGAATATCTTTACCTTCATTTCAAACCTCAAGTCTTTACCCCCTCTGCAAAGCTGGATTTGTCAGGTTTCTTTCGGTACAAATAGTGGAAGTTCGACTCGGGCGTTTTAATGAGCCACAGCTCAAATATTGAAATGATACCAGGATTTAACCCCCTGTCAAAAGTGGGCCAGTCCACCCAGTGAAAAAGTTTTTAGAAGTCAATAACAGGTCAAACCATGCCAACGGTCCCACTCAGATTTGAAAATATACATTCTTCTGTCCTCCTTACCAGAAAACTGGGCCTTTCTGAGCAAAATTTGCCCAGAAAAAAAATAGAGAGAATATTTAAAAAGATAAGTCCAAAAATATATCGTAAAGAGTGCCTTTTCTGCGCATGGCGAATAAAGGGTAGCCCCTCCCCTGTAGGAAATATTCCTGTGGACCCTTGGACTAAAAAAAAAATTCCTGCCCTGCATAAATATTCATGAGCACTTACGTTTCAGCGTACCACTTGGACTTTCTAACAAACCGTCCTGTGTGTGCCATTCCCAGGGACACGTTCATACAAACTAGCATTCAGCTGTGGACACGTTCGTGCAGACTGCACACAATACTACTATACCATTAGGCTCGCCCCTGAGGCGTCGCCAAAATAACTTAGAAAGTGGTCAAACGTAATTCGTGATCATACATTCTTGTAATCGTAACGTACATTTTCCATGTTTGTGGGAAAAAAACAACATGGTATTTTAAATACGGGTGAGCAGCTGCGGATCCCCCCTAACGATACTGTGGAAAAAACCCTGAATTGGAGCAGGTTTTGGGGAGTATATATGGGACATCTGCCGATTTCTAGTATAGTTAATCCCCACCGATCGCCACCGATTTTGTACATTCATGTCGCATAACATTGCGATTGTAGCGCGTACTGTAACCAAAATGTACCTTCACCATCATAATCGGTCGCCTGTAGACCAGTCGATCACACGTACGTCCATTCCACGACCACCGGTCAGCAGCCAGCGTAGCAATGTTCATTAAATATATACAAATAACAAACCTTCTACCGTAGGACACGAATTGGAAATCTAAGTGGTTCGTTTCCGACGATTTCCACAGGTTTCCCACAGCGGACACGCCACGTCTGCACCTTGGAAAACAGTGCAAACCCGCGGAAACTTCGGATTTCCTGGCGCGTGTACACAGATATTCATGAGGGAAATCTAGCTATTCGTCCAGCTAGTGTAGCCTCCGCTTATTTTGGAAAAACACAAACAGGATGTACACCACTGGTTCTGGCTCCTTCGCAGACCTGTCAGAACCTGATTGGCTGGTTGGTGATAAGATCTGCAGGTTTGACCAGTGTTGCAGGATGTCCAGTGTAACATACGAGGGGAATAAACAGGACGACTCGGGCCATCGCAATTTTGTGGTCAACTCGGACAACTGCCCTGAGGCGATGGCAGTTCTCGGCCTTTTCAATAATAAGGCCACACCGATTTAATTTTATGGATGACATCCGCGCGCGCATTGATTTTCACCTGTTCTCAAAAAAAAGATCAAGTCCTCCGAGGCTCTGGCCTGGGTAGTCCATGGTAGTTAGCGACGATACGGAGCCGGTGGTAACTCTGGAGGACGGCACCCAGGCTACCGAAGCTCCACGACTCAAAAACTCAGTACACACGAACAGTGCCGATTCATAAATTCCGCAAAAAGCCAGCATGTGCCGGCTTGACGTATACGTTGCTATGTACTTCCGCAAATTCATAATACCAGCTTTGTATTCCTGTGGTTTAGTAGCATATTTATTCTTGGCCGGATTTTTTTTATTCGCCCGCACGCACTAGTTTGAGGGTCTTCAGAGGATGCCATCCATAAAATTAAGCCGGCGTGGCCTACCGGACATAACTCGAATTGCGGTCCAAAAATGTAAACAATACAGTACTAGTATTCTACTAGTGTCCATCATAGCTATGAAAACTCTCCTTCTCCCTGTTTTGGAGCCAAAAAGTGACTTCGATCTCTAGGAATCATTCCAGTAGCACCCATACATGGTATTTCAGTCAATTGCTGTCAGAAAAGTATGTGTGTGTGTGTGTGTGTGTGTGTGTGTGTTAGTGTGTGTGTGTGTGTGTGTGTGTGTGTGTGTGTGTGTGTGTGTGTGTGTGTGTGGCAGTGTGCGAATGGCGCTAGCTGATAAGCATCCCAAAAATCGGTTTGTAACAAAACCCGGTCTTGATCTTTAGCAATTATCTCAATGTAATTCATGTGGAAGGAATATTTTGCATGGGAACCACTGTTCAGTTGATGTAGAAGTGTCTGTGATGAAATGTACAAGCCCGGATATTTTGTAGTCATAATATTCAATGTGGCCTCTTTTTTCTGACGTTGAGATCACCTATTATCATACAAGGTTTATTCTTCGGAACAAAATTTCGCGACATGCAAAAACTTGTCCATCTAAAAGTTTTACAAAACAGCAAAAGTAGACAATCCAGGCCAAAAAAATTGCGCTGCAAATGCTACATAAACATCTCTTTAATTTCTCGTCACTTTATAAGCAAACAAGGCATGTATAAAATCTTATCTGCACTAAACATTCTACATTGATAATACTTACCAGTACGTATACATGCAGCCTCTTTGACAAAATGTATAATAGTGTTCTGCGGGTTTGCCGGAATGCAGTCCACATGAGCGCGTCGGCAACTGCGCCTTCTGCGATTTTTTTTTTACTCTCTACAGTCCATATGATGGCATATCTTTGCAATATTTCCCATGTTATTTGTATCAGAGGAACACTGCTGCTCTCGCCTGCACTTAAAGCTATGATAAGACACCCTGTAGTTCTTTCCCACTTCATCTGTGTGTCATGAAAAACGCGCCGACGTAAAGTAAAACAACAAAAGTAAACAAGTCAGGCGCACAGATCCTCCGCGAAAATGTCTTTAATATCCTGTCCTTTTGTGAGCAAATAAAAAGTTACGACATAAAACATTCTACATTCTATTACTCACCTGTATACATGCAACCGCACTGGGAACCAGGAGGTCCCGGGTTCGAACCCTGCCATGTCACCGATATTGTGCCATTACATTTGTCTTCTATGTTTTTTGCGGCATAAAATAAGTTTAAAAACTTAAGAGTGCCATCACCATGTCTTGTGATGAAATGTTGGAATTTAAAAAACACACTGGATTGCTGGCGTGCGCCCGCGAGTTGGTATGTAACCATGGGCGCGTCGGCAACTCTGCCCTTTGTAACTTTTTTCACTGTACTGTCTATATCTTTACAATATTTTTGTGCCAGAAACATACTGCTGAACTCGCCTGCAGTCAAAGTTATCATTAGGCAACCTGTACTTATTTCTCAATTCATCTGTGCATCAGAAATCCTTTTCCCGCGGGTAAAATCCCTCCAAAAACGGAGTCCTTAGAACCCTAGTCTTTTCCAAGCTAAAACATGGCAAGAAAATGACAAACTTATTATATTACCCCATGTTGACACCAAATCTCTTTCCTCAACACAGCGGGCTGACTCGAATAATAAGTGCTTATCCGATTGGTTTTTACCTAAGCTACGGGCAAAATCCTTCCAGAAATGGGATTTATAAAATACTGTTTTGTTTCAAGCTCATGACATGACAGGGAAAGAACAAAAACTTACCCCATTCTGACACTAGGTATTTTTCCTCCAGACAGCGGGCTGACTCGCAGCGCGCTGTTAGTCTGAGGGAGAAGTATAATAGACTGACTGCCACGTAAAATAATCTATGATTTTCGTAATTGTCAGTGTGCAAAATGACTTCACGTGATGTCTAAGAGTCCTCCCATTGGTCTATCTGGACTCTTATCCCGTTATCAGTGAGGTAAGACGACGTGGCGAGTTGTGTTGTTGCTCACGATGGTACGATGTCTGGGTTTTTTTTTTGGAAAGCATGAAGCCCCGATAGTCCATCTCGCATCCTTGTTGATCTGTAAATAGCACACGCCTTTCATCTCTGCCAGAATCACTCCCACTGCCCAGGTTTAACCACGGGCGTCGGTAGCGTCGCAAGTCCAGCGAAGTGTCTTGAAGTCTTTAACCAGATCTAACACCAAGAATAAACTTACGTCGATGTTTTCAGATCTTGTCAGCCTTTAATACGTGCAAACTCCATAGTCTGCAATTCTCTTTGATGATGTGTTTATACACCGACTACGGACATACGAAAACAGTGTCGCTATATTGATGTGTTTTGATTACTTTGATCTGCTCAGGAGATGACATTTTGGGTGATGCAGGGTGAGCGATCCAACTTTAGATCAGTTCCCCTCCCCATATTTGTGATACGTTAGCTCTTGTATGGCGTTACTCGTGGATATACCTTGTAAATACAAGACAAGGCGTGAGCCATGGTCCTTCTTCTTCTTCTCGGGTGCTGACCATGGTGCTGACTGAGATATCCTCATGTATCAGGTACGTTTTGATGTCTTGATGAGGGCAACTCTACAAGCATGTGCTGTTAGTCACGCTCTCGTCGACTCTACCAGGCTTCAGAAGCGGCTGGAAATTAGCGTAGAAATCGGCCAAATACACAGATAACTTGCCAGGGGAGTTGGTTCGCTGAAGGAGAACAGTTTGCCACTCCAAAATGTACTCCTTTAGCTGACCAACTTCCCTGGCAAGTTATCTGTCTAGTTGGCGGAATTCTACTATTTCTTGCCTCCTCTGAAGCCTGGTAGAGGCTACATGTAATCCACGGTGCCGGATGTATGTTACAATTCAGTCTGAATATTTTTTTTCCAAATGAGTGCAACTTTGAGAGGTTTTTAACGAACAAAGGCCATTTTTTGCCATTTTTCTCTCCCTGTTATTCTTGTATAGAAATGTCCAGTCATAGCTGAAGCTGAAGGGCTGATCAATTAGGATTTTACCATGATCAATATTGACTGAAGGAGGCCACATTGTAAGATATACAGAGTCTTTCTCCCAGTCTTGTTCGAACATCACCCACTTCTAATCTGACCCCCCACCCTACCTCAATGTAATTTTTACTGAACAAGAACAACGCTGGCACCGGTAGTATAAAAGATATCAAATAATTGATTCCGGCATACATGTACTGTATTTTGTATACTTTGATGTACACAGGTGATGACATTAGTGGTGTAGAGTTCAGAGGTTGATTGGTTATATTACCCTTAGTCTTATCAAAAGATCTAATATGTTGTATTTTACTAATTGTTTATGTACTGTGTATTTGTTGTATGTACTTTTATGTGTATCCAGGATTACCTGAGAAGCAGGCCAAAATGGCCTGAGCTGTAATTACTGGTAAAACAAATAAACAAATAAACAAAATCTCGTAATTACATGTACCTGGGTGCCCCAAGACATGACCACATCACCTGTTGAAATTAACAGTGTCCTGTCAACCGTTTTCAGTGCCAGATACATGAAAGCTAAAACAAATGATTTCGCTCGTCAGTCGAAGACTGGCTGGCACCTTTCCAAATATACGTCGCCCTCCCGGCACGTGTATTTCTTGTGTGTATGTTTCATTGTGATCTGTTCTTCCCTCTATGCACTATGGTGTTAACTAAAGAATACACTTTAAAAGAGTTTAAGTTCCTTCAAACATCAGCTGGCGCATAGGGTGGCGCCCATCTCCCATTCAGTAGCCCTTGGGCCACACAACAGTGCACTCACTACAGCAGGGGGCTAGTCCACTTGTAGTGAATTCGAACCCACTATGTTTTCAGAACAGTGTAGGGGGCAGCCCGGTGTGCAATAGCTGAAATCTGCAAACGCACATGCAAAACTACATCACCGAATTAGAAACAAAACGTTTTAAGCTATATGTGCCCTGTTTTGCTTTATTTTCTTCTGAGATGGGAGTTTTGACTCACGCTTCAACTAGGTCTCTTATGAATCCGCACTTTATGTTATGTTATGTTATGTTCTGTCCCTTTGTTTGATAAATATCACAGACAAATTGATTTGAAACAGCCATTCCGTCCAGTACAAAAAAAGTTAAAATTATTTTAGGGCCAGAAAATCACTGAGGCACCGAAGGCTACGCGTGGTATATTACATATTATATTGTTATATTACATATTACATATCATATTATAATTTTACACATGACAGTAGATGAGGGACTTCAGCCTCATTTTTCTAGCTCAAGAATATTTTATTCAGGATAGAATCGCATGCCCAGCACGCAAGCCATAGGAGCAAAATAAAAGTACCCATATAATAAGTGTTAGATCACTCAATAAACCATCACCTTACGTCAAATACTTGGCTCAATTCACCCTTATATTATATTATTTTATTTTTTTAAGTCACTTTTACTTCAAAAGTCATGTCCGTACGTCAGCATTACTCCAAGATGTTGTTTTAGCATTACAACTCCTCATTATCTTGATGCTCTATGTTACACTTTTCAATCTCTCATACACTTGATATTACGGGGTTGTCTGTTGACAACGTCTTTCACTGGTCTTTACCCACTCAGTAACAGAGGAAAACCATACAAATGTTTTACACAGTACAACATCTCAAATGCAACGTGTCAGTGGACAAGGTATAGCTAGTTAACTACTGGTTTCTTTATCCCATTACCTTTAAGTTATTCATATACACCTTAATTAAGAATAACATTCTGTGTCTCTGAGACGTGAATGCTAATGGTGTGTTTTTATCCCTGTATGTCACTATCTGATCTTTTGCGTTTGTACTTTATATCTTGTCAGGACAGTCAGGCTATTATTTTTGCAATGGTGTGGTAATGTGGTCCAGTTATGATGTTACTTATGAATCGGGTTAGTCATTTTAATTATGTAGACACATCTCTACTGATAAATATTAATATAATGGTAAATTCTTATTAACTTAAGTAATAATCATTGAATTAACAAGTGTCATGTCCATATGTGAATGTGAATCACCTTACACAACAGAGCTCTTACAATTGATAAGAGCTCTGCATATACAATTTTTGATCCCTGGTTATGTGACAAATTAGTCAAATGTAAACTTTATTTTACTTTTACATGGCATCTGTTCAAAATGGTGACAAAACCTTACTTATGATTGACAGGCAGTTATCATAACAATGATAAATGCATAAGGCACTGATATGGAATCTATTTGAAATGATATCTATTTGGAAAAAATGTCATATTTGCCTGGCAGCATTGTGCAGATGTATTCCGTAAATATCACATGCCACTAGTCAATTTCAACTTTGGACCAGGGAGCTTGAAATATCAGGCCCATTACAAAATTTAGTAATTAAATCCACTGATTTGTGTTCAACGTTTTCACGATAAAGAAATGTCATATGATAGAAATCAATGTACCATGAAGTACTGCATTCTTCTTTATATGTTGTTATGCAGTTTTCTTTCAGTAATTAGTTAGAATGTTGGTCATAGTAATAATTTGAATCTGAGTTTTAGGATTTCAACTGACCAGTGTTATACACTAGGCTATAGATGAGATTATATTTCCATTGCAGCATGCTTGCATGGCATGAGCTGCCTGTCCGTTGTGTAAACATACAAGGGACATTTGGCTCAGAATTTAGGCTCCGCCCTAAGGTATCGCCAAAACAGAACCTACCGTATTATTTTATGTGTTTGAACCAACACTTTTGACTTGGATTCTCTGGAACAAAATATTTAAGAGAGCTGGCCAATAAAAGATTGATTTAAAATTGTGACCTTTTTTAATTAAGGAATTTAAACATCGGTAATGTTGACAATGGTAGGCTGTGATCAAGGTTAGGGCTACTGTCAGGTTCTGAATCGTACAAGGGAGGATACTATAGAGATAGGAAAGAAAAGACTATTTTGTATTTCAGAAACAGTTCAAGGGGTCTCTGTCAGGGGTCGCACTTTCATTTCAGTGAACTTCAGAGATTCGCGCAACCCTCTGAACGTTTTCCAAACGAGACCCTTCTCATACTCCTCGCTACCATACATTCCATTCAGGTTGGACTCACCACATGCATTATACCACCAGGCGCCGTGGAACCGGACGGCACAACTTCCATCAGCCAAATTATCGTTGTCATCGTCGTAGGTGCTGAAGTCCATTCCATTTAGACTGAGACCTGCTGTTGTTGAGAGCATAGAGTCCCCTGGAAAAAGCGACAAAAAGTTTTATCAGTGAAGTGCTGGCTTCAGCTTTGATTATGTTGTAAGTAAAAGAGTATTGCTCATCGCTGTTGATTTGCAATGTAACCTTAAATCTTCTGATTTTTTTTTTGATTTTTTGAAAGCCAAAAACAACATGCTCTCCTTCTGAGAAGGTAAACATAATTACACCCCTGTCCTGATTAGAAGGATTAGCAACCTTACACAAACGTTATACGCACCTGCGGTTCCGGAGTAGCCTGAAATGACGGCCCTGTAGTTATTCGCCTCATTGGCCAAACCAAACCAGTTGTACTCCGCGTATGCCGTGGTTCCATTGTTGGCCTCCATGTCCACCCTCAACGCGTAGTCCTTCCGTGGCTGCACTGTGAGGCGGTGAATCTTGTCGTTTCCAAGCCAGAATTCACCGGTCATGTTGTCGGATGGGAAGCCGCGTTTGTAGTCGTCCCAGCCGCGGTAGAAGTCAACCGAGCCATCCTGCCGCCTTTGGAACACCTGTGGCATTTTGTGTGATGAAATAACAGGTACTTAGAATGAGAACCAAGGCGGCATTCAGGTAAGACTACATATAATGCCAATAAACATTATGAACTGTCCCTTTTATAGCTGAGAATATGACAGGTACAAGTAAGACTTTTCTTTCTTGATTGAAATTTGAGGGGCCTATGCCTACTACCCAAGACCCTTTTGCAGTCGACTCTTGGACCCCCCCCCCATTACTACACTTAGGGAATATACAAAGAATGGAGCTTAGAAGAACGTTCTAGGAGGCCCATCCAGACCCCTGGACATGTCGACTCAAGATAGGCCTTACCGTCCAGCCTCCTCCGTCAGTCTCCATGTCACAGTACACCAGGAACCCTGGCTGGTTGTCCCTTGGATATATCATGTAGATTCCACTGGGCAGGGTCGGGTCCATGTCATGGATCTCCTTACAGTCGCATGGTTTGACTAATGGGGTGGTACAGAAACGCAATGTTCAATGATCATTGAATGAGAATACACTGTCTTAAAGAGCACATATACTACATTACTACATCTATTTACTATATATAGGATGTTGCTAATAGAATTAAATATCTAATACATGTTTATACTTTGCAGATATTTGGCTATTTTGGGCATTCCAGTCTTCCTTCAATATATATCATGAAGGTAATATAAAAATAAACATTCTTACACATCAGCAAGGCCTGCAAAAAGTTGGGACCAGGAATAATTACTACATGGCCCATCCTAGTTTTTATTCCATTCAACCTTCCTTTAAAACCGTTACAAAGGAGAGGTTATATTGTCATACCAGGTGGTATCCATGGAGGGAAGCATATCAGTGGACGTCCAGTCCATATGCCGTTGCGACACCACCGAACATACGAGCCCGTCCAACGATTCCAACCTGGCAGACATGTGTAGACACAAACGTCTTTTATCCAGTTCCAAGGCCTAAAGATCCGTAGTCGTCCACAACGCACACGGACCGCACCAAACCCTGGTGCGGGTTGTGGGGGGCAGTTCGCTGAAAGAAGAAAACGATGGTTTATTTATCTATCTAGTATTTATTCTTTATTTCAGGCCAAAGGCCCATATGAAAAAAGGCACAGTGGCAAATGTACAAATACAGAAATACACACATTATGTGATGATGATATGCATTTTTTTCATTCCCACCAAAGTGATGTTTACCATTAAGATAATTCTATTCACTGTTACAGAACCCAACAGAAGTAAGGAATCACAAACAAATCCTTTTTGTGAAGTAACTGCATTTTTCACAGGTCAACAAATGGCTTTGTTTGGATAAGTTAATGCATACATAATTAATACTCTAACAGGTTGAAGCTACAGTTCCTAAGTCCGTATAACTGTCTACAAGACGACAGTGACTTACGTCCGCACAACAGCTGATTATTCTGAGGTCGCCACTGCCCATTCCAACAGACAAGTGTTCTTCTTCCCCAGCATCTTTGGAAGCCTGGCAGACAATCGTATATGACGATATCGCCGTTCTGGAAACCAGTTGGGCCGAAGACGATGCCAGAGCCCGGGAGTGGTGCCGGTGGAAATGGACAAGCTAGTAGATAATAAAAAAGAAACATGTAAAGCATTAATTAGAAAAGTGCAATATGCCATGGCAATAAGAGTTGTACTGTAAGATATTGTCCAGGTACTAGTATTTTACGGTTTCGGACCTTGTCAAATATGTTTCAAATTGATGTTGCCACAATATGAATCTATGCTTCAAATTGATTTTCCATGCAATTGACTAATACAATTGGCTTGTTATGGTCAAAGTTCATTTAGTACATACATGTCTACACGTGGCTGGTAATTTTTCCAATACCTGGAAGTGGAATGAAGACCCAAACCCCGAACCAGTATGTCCGCCGTATGATTATGACTTTGATCACAGGTATGACCACTCTTATGCCACAGATGGTGACGATTTCAAAACAAGGGACTGGGACGATGATAAATTCTGTAAATTCAATTTCCCAGCAAGCTAGCAGGAAGAACGGGATCCTTCGTAGGGTGAAGCGCTCGTTGAGCCGCAGGGAGTAGACCGCGGTCCCGCAGTCTGGGAAGATGGCCCGGAGCGATACCGACTGCCTCATCTCCATGTACCGGTAGCTGAACATCTGAAGGTAGCGCTGGCTGTACGCACCGAAGGCGGAGAGGTCACCGAGGTCATATGCGTCGGGTAACTCGTCAACTGCAAAGAATAAATTCAATGTGCACGTATGAGAGACCAAGCTCTTGGCGAAACAGTACAAGGTGCTGAGCAGATTATTGTTTGTGTGTCAGCAAGGATAGATATTACTGTTTTTTATTCTTCATTATTTGGTCTCCAAGTTTGGCCAAAAACTTGAGTTTGAATTGGATGAAATATATTTTCTAAATCTTGACATTGAAGTTATATTAGGCCTATCAAATTAAACACATTTGACTTCAGTTAGATACACGTCTAGTCATGTTTTTTCAGCTCAATCAGAGTTACCATAATCACAAAGTAAAAGAACGAAGTGAAACCATTCTTATCCTGTCATATCCTCAGATCAAGCTGAAAAAATAGTCAAAACTTGGCAGAAAACAATCCTAAGTGCTGGTGCAGTGACACCACAGTTATACCATTGGGTCATTTGCAATTTGTCACATAAAAATCAGATTTATAGACCATATAATGAATAAAAGCAACACTTCAACGACGCTATACCTGCTGGATCGAAGTTATCTAGAAGTATGCTGGTTTCCATGTCGCCCTCTGATTCCTTGAACGTTAGGATCCACATGTCTTTTGCTCCGTTGATTGCGTTCGTCACGCTGCCCTCCATACTCAAGAGTGCAGTATCATCCCTACCCTGTAACTCTTCATCATACACAATCCTGAACGCATCTAGATGGAGCTCCTCTGCCATGTCGTCAGAAATTTTATCCTGGAAATCGTTCATTGCCATATCCAAGAATGCTTTATTGAGCCCTGGAATTAGAATGAGAATACTGAGTGCCCTCTCCAGACTGCATAGAATTCACCGTTGTCTTTTTTATCTATGGCTTATGTGGCGGTTGTAGCATTAGGGTATCCGCCCGAATTATGAGAGCCGATATTAGTTAACTTTGTTTTCCCTATCATTTTACAATGTAGATTTGCAAATTGCCCCACAACCGTCTGTGTAAGACCTTATCATTGCTAGGGTGTCAGATAAAAATATCTTCAGCGTGGCTTTTAAACTCAGTAAGGTTTCATTCAAAACAGATCACAAAACCATTCAAAATGTTGATGCTATCATTTGATATTACGGGTAAATTCCTTCCAATCATTAATCAAAAAGGTTATTATCAATAACTTATATTACATTAAAAATCTAAGGGACATACAGGTGATATGGATTTATGAAAGAACTGCTTCATACCTTCATCAGGTGCTATAGCGCCAATGCCAGGGTCAGGACAAACTAGATGAGACAACAGGGAGACATGTTTTAAGAAGAAATCTTGGCAAGGGACGAAATATGTCAATGATTACATTTAATTAGTATTGTTTGTATGTGACTGTTTTGTTGTGTAAAAGAGTGCCCCATTGAAAAGAAGTGCAATCACTTAATGGGCCACCCTGTATAAAATGAAATAAATAAATAAATAGATAAATAAATAGTACCTGGTAAAGGTAGTATTTTCCACGGGGGGAAAGTTGTGATCCACCAGACTCTGACCCACCAGGTAAGGTGTATGATGAGATACTTGACGTAGCATCTCGTCACCAGATACCACTTACAATATGGCTCACCTACCCAGTACCAGGTCTGGGTGTAGCAAATAACTGGGACAATTATGATCACCTGTTCTTCTATTGTGACGCAGGTTATGAGAATTAGGGGCACCCTAACAAGACGGAAAAACACATTCAGCTGAACCTCAACTATAAGGTCGCAGTCTGGGAGGATGGCTTGGATATTCACACTGAGCCGCAATTCTAAGTAACGCTGCCTCAAAAGTTCGAGCTTGGCTCTAAAATCAACGCTAACAGAGAGTTTCGAGAGGTCTAGATCCTCTGGCAGCACCCCTGCAAGTGGAAACAAATCAGAACATTTGGTGTAAGATTGGATGGTTAATTACACACAGAGTATAGAATTCCTCACCAAACAGTAAAAAAATGTACTAAGATAATGCAATCATGTGTCAAAAAAAGTCAAACTATACTCAAGACAACAACATGGTTCCCATTGAGCACTTGCAGTACTTGAACTAATATTGACGTTGTTAAAATCTTCCAAAATGTATAGTGTGATATTCATAAATATATGCAATATTTTTCAGGTTTGTCATCAACGCTATCCACCTGAAAAAGTATTTCCACTCAGAGTTGAGTTAAAACCAAAGTCTCGCGCAAATTTTTGTGTGTGCCTTTGTCTGCAAGCACTACAGTCACAGAGTGTTAAACTGAAAAATTAGTTGTGCTGAGTACGCAGAAAAAGCAGTATGTACCACGATTTTTAAGATATGGCCAGGGTTTGAACCTGGGACCTCCCTAACACTCGACCCACAAGGCTATTGCGCTAGTCTTTTACCCGAATCAAAAAACAGTGCCATGAGTACCTACCTGTTCTGGGGTCAAAGTCTGGAAGCATGATGGAAATTTCGTAGCCAGTGTCAGGGTCGTTGTATTGCAAAACCCAGGCATTCCTTTCGGCTCTGACGGCCTCCGTGAGATCCCCTGACATGCCTGACAGGCTCTCTCCATCTTGGTAACTCAACTTCTCAAACTCTTCTTTGACCTGATCGAATTTTGTGTCAGCCGCGTACTGATCAGATTCAGCGTACGTCAAAGTTTCGTACATGGCTTCAAAGTCGAAAACTGTAAGAAAAATGTAAACTTTGTCTTCTCGCTCTGTATTTTATAACTATACTTGCGAGAGTGTTCTTAAGATACTGTGTACTTAAAGGTTAATCAACTTTAAACCTATAGACACAATACAATAACTACGAGTTAGAATAAATAATATCTAAGCATTGTCAAATGTAGAAACATCCTAGGAAATTCTGGATTGTGCTTTTTAGCTAGAAGTGAAGAAATGTAAGACATCATATGTAAGCATTATTATTGCTGTTGTATAATGTAATAATAAATGGCTAGACAATTTTGTACCTTTATCGTCGGGTATGGATACAACCTCGGGCAGCCCACAACCTAATAAGCAGAAAAAACAGTCCTTAGTGTATAAATAGTTGGAATGACATAAGAGCAACAGTCTGAACATGAGATGACGAATATAAGTTGAAAAACACAAAGAACATAAATCTATTTCAGTCTCCAAAAGAAACTATTTCAAATGGCTTCTAAAGACTTGTTTTCTCCACCAATGGTGATTTTGTTTCGTTAAAGTTTGCTTCTAATGTAGCAAGTCGAAAGTTTTAAGTTATTATGCATCTAATTATGGCAAAGACATTTACTAGGGGTGGGTAATGTCACCTGCATGCAACACAATAGCCTGAATTCTTATTGGACCAAACACCTAGATTTGAAGAAGTTTCAGACTATGTGATGAGAAAACATACCATACTCATCCTTGGTAGGTGGTGGGGACGTGGTTGGGCACGGTGTAGGCGGAACCTCTGTAGTAGACTCTGTCCGAATCGGTGGAGAAAATAAAGCACATTAGATAGACAAAACATATAGTTTTCACAACCATACAGTTTATAGAGGCAATAGTTATAAAGTGTTTTAATCAATTGTTCATTACAATAACAATTGAAAAACTTTCTCTGCACCCTTCAGAACAACACAATAACTTATTATACTAGGTAAATTTAAAAATTTACCGTTTTTACAGCAGCAGCGCCCGCCGTCAGGGCATGGACACTGGTCACCGTCCTTCCACTGCCCGTCACACGGATCGCCTTCATAGATACACTCTCCTTCACAGGCTGTTCGGCAGGTAGGCTGTTTCGGCACGCAGCAGCGTTTGTGGTACGGACAGGAGCAACTGGCCTTGTCAGAGACCCACTCGTAGTCTCCGGTACACTCCTCATGGTAGTACTTGCACTTGCCGTAGCAGTATTTTTCACATTCCGTCTCTGTAGGGGAAGATTGAAAAAACCTGCGTTCTTTTGGCTGCATTGTTATAGTGATGTTCTGTTTGTCATTCTCCTATGACATCATCATCATTGGAACCATTCAGAAACTCATGTTAATACAAGTACTTGGAGTTGAATGGTGTCTAAAAACAACCTCTGGCCTCGGTTTTCATTAAATGGCTCATTAAATCATCAGTGTAGCTTTTTGTTAACACTCAACAAAACACAGATTGTATAGTACCTACGATATGAAACTAAGTTGTACCAGTACATATCTGGACGAATTCCACCTATCAGGAATAAGAAGTGCATGTTTGGAATGTTTCTATGATATTTACATGTATAAGCCTTTGTCAGCAGAATCTCAACTCTAGCCTAATACTTCATGATTATATTATCCTTAAAATTGTGATTTAGGCACACCTGGAAATAAAACAAACATGATCAATTTTAGTACAGCATGCAAGTGGTGTTTTCTGCACTGCAACAATACTTTTGCTTCTGGGAAAAGATGGACAATGGAGACATACACAATTAGCATTACTCTATGTGAAGGAGATGCAATAATTGTATTCATTGTATTCAGGATATATTTTAACTATTAGCAACATGGATATGATTATTTTTGCATTTTTCCAAATTCACTGTATAGCATTTTAAAAAGCTGAGATATAACTGGAACTTTTAAATGATTTACCTTCTTGACAACAACAGCGCATGTCGCCTGGACACGAGCACTGTTTGTAATCCTTCCACTTTCCAGTACAACCTTGATTCTCCAGGCTTGAATCGGGTAGTATGCAATCTCCTGAGCAGTTATCTTCACAGTCTGTTCCTGTGGGCGGAAAATTAAGACCTTTTTTTGCCATATTGTCATCAGAGGCAGATTGGTGTAGAAATGGGGACCTAAACTCCCTATCAAGAAACTGTCAGGATGTAAGAAGCTATATTGACTCCAATCATCCTCCCAACATCATTAAGTGGATAACATAAGCCACAAGGCACTATGAACAATAACAGCAGACGACACTCACAGGGAGTGATCTGCATATTTCTGACGTCTAAAGTTGTGAAAAATGCTGTACTAGTATTTATCGCCAGCAGTTCTCATTGCCGCAAACAAAAAATGACCCAGATTGTTGCAGCTAACCTAAATACTATCCTTGTCACAAGATCTCAGGCGTTTCAGTTTCTAATTTGAACAGAATGTTTCAGCACAGACCAGCCTCTGTCAAGCCTGAAAGTTCATAATCGCATATCTGTATTTACAAATTGCAAACATCTTATTATCAGCTGAACTAGGTTTCTAATGATAGTTGGGTGTCAGCTAACTAGCCAAAGTCTTGCAACTATGTACATGTACTAAGAAAGTTGTATTTCCCCCAGCCTCGCCGTTTTAGGGGGTTGTCCATGAACAGTATATATATTTTATAAAGGTTATTTATAGTGATTTTAATATTGGAATATAAGGATCCAAAATAAATAGTGGCACTAATCACGAGACATAGAACATTTGGCTGAGCAGATATAAGGTTTGTCACTCACTGCAACAGTGATTGTAAGGTACTTACTGTTCGCAGACGTCGTTTGCTGAGTCGTAGGCGTAGTTCTTTGCCTAGTTGTATTCGTAGCTCTTTGCTGAGTCGTAGGCGTAGTTCTTTGCTGAGTCGATGACGGAGTCGGTGTCTCAGGTGAAGTCGGTGTCTCTGAAATAGAGAAGATTTCACATACATGGCATGAATGGAAACGTGAAAACCGTCTCATCTGGCAGTACATGGAATAGAAAGAACATTCAAAAGTCACAATCTTTTAACGCTCAACAAAACACAGATTGTATAGTACCTATATGATATGAAACTACGTTGTACCAGTACATATATGGGCGAGTCCCCTCTATCAGGAATAAGAAGTGCATGTTTAGAATTTTTCTATGACATTTACATGTATAAGCCTTTGTCGAATATCAACTCTAGCCTAATACTTTATGATTATATCATATTATCATTCATATTATCCTTCAAAGGGTGATTTTTGCACACCTTGAAATAAAACAAAAATGATCAATTTTAGTGCAGCATGCAAACCTGTCAAGAGAGTTTTGTTTACCAAGACCTGTGAATATTATGATATGAAAGTGTCATGGTGTTTTCTGCACTTGTGACCTCTCCTGCAACAATACCTTTGCTTCTTGGAGAAGATAAAGAATGAAGACATACACAATTAGCATTACTCTGTGTGAAGAAGATGCAATAATTGTACTTATGATATGCTTTGGATATGATTATTTTTGCATTTTCTGTATTTACTGCATAGCATTTTGAACAGCATGACAGATAGACCTGGAACAATCAATTCAATTCTTTATTTCAATACCAACATAGTAGACATACAAAATAGAAGTATAATGTTGCCTGAATGGTATTGGTTTTTACAGCATTACATTAAAATAAACACATAACATTATTACATACATATATACATAAATATATACATTACCTATATGAAGAGTACATCCCAGGTATGACAAGTTTATAAAGTCTGATTGTAGAGTTTGATAGACTGATATAGGAAGTAGTTCTGGAGTCTTTTTGTTCTGGCTGGGGGATGGAGATGGTGTTTTTGTTTCTAAGAGATCGTCCAGTAGTATTATAATTGGTTTATTTCAACTGAACAACTTGCAGCCCACAGGGCTGTGTTCGTACATATACATAGGAAGGTAAACACTTGCTCAGTATTATGGTCTAAAACCATCATCATCGTATACAATTAGTCAAGATCTATGGTAATAAAAAGTAAGGACAGTAAAATGAGTAAGCATTAGCTCTAGAGACAGGGACAAGGTCATGGTTTACCTTGTGGACAACAGCAGCGCTGGTCGTATGGACACGAGCACTCTTCGGGATCCTTCCACACTCCAGTACAACCTGAATTCGCCATGTTCGGGTCGGGATCTATGCACTCTCCTCCTGGGCAGTCCCCCACGCAGGTAGTCCCGTTATATGGCTTGCAGCAAAAGTAGCCCTCTGGACAGCCGCATCGGGGGTCGTTAGACGTAGAGCCGACTGGCCAAGCACAGCCGATCACACCATCCTTCCAACACGTGCCGCCACAGTATGCTTCACAGTCCGTTTCTGGGGGCGGGAAATTAGAACGCTGTTTTTTTGGCGACGTCTCAGGGAGGAGCCTAATGGTACAGTATTGTGTGCAGTTTGTAAGAATTCTAGGAATGGTACAGGAATTTTGTCCACAGGAATGGAATGTCCACAGGCATTTCTTTGACCCACACCTATGCCCACATTCCTGGAAACCCTTGGGAAGACCTGTCTGCCCTGGGTGCCCTATTTTCTGTGACCCCGGGGCTCATTCACTATACACTCATGGGTGGGGTGCACTGTATCTGTCTAGACTTAACAGGTACCAAGTCTTCCTCAAAGTCATGAAATGATGGCAGTGCCATGCAAACAATAACTCTAACAGCAACCACCGTCGCCATGGCAATGTATGTTTTCATTGCCAGTCTTGTTTATTTTTTCCCCACTGTCAGCAGATTGGTGTATAAATGGGGACCCCCCATAAAAACTGTAATGTAAATAGCTAAATTGACCTCAGTCATTCTCCCAACACGTGCCACCACAGTATTCTTCACAGTCTGTTCCTGTAGGTGGGAAATTAGAACTTTCCTCCTTTTCTCCCCCACTGTCATCAGAGGCAGATTGGTGTAGAAATGGGGACCTAAACCCCTATCAAGAAACTGTCAGGATGTAAGAAGCTAAACTGACTCCATCGTCCCAACACCATACAATCCACAAGGCACTTTGAACAGTAACAGCAGACGACACTCACAGGGAGTGATTTGCATATTACTTACGTCCGAAGTTGTGAAAAATGCTGCGTTTATCGCCAGTAGTTCTCAACAAAACATTGCCGCGAACGTAAAATGACTCAGATTGTTGCAGCTAACCTAAATACTATCCTTGTCACAAGATCTCAGGCGTTTCAGTTTCTAATTTGAACAGAATGTTTCAGCTAACTAGCCAAAGTCTTGCAACTATGTACATGTACTAAGAAAGTTGTATTTCCCCCAGCCTCGCCGTTTTAGGGGGTTGTCCATGAACAGTATATATATTTTATAAAGGTTATTTATAGTGATTTCAATATTGGAATATAAGGATCCAAAATAAATAGTGGCACTAATCACGAGACATAGAACATTTGGCTGAGCAGATATAAGGTTTGTCACTCACTGCAACAGTGATTGTAAGACACTTACTGTCCACTGAAGTCGTTTGCTGAGGCGTAGGCGTAGTTCTTTGATTAGTCGATGACGGAGTCGGTGTCTCTGAAATAGAGAAGATTTCACATACATGGCATGAATGGAGACGTGAAAACCGTCTCATCTGGCAGTACATGGAATAGAAAGAACATTTAAAAGTCACAATCTTTTAACACTCAACAAAACACAGATTGTATAGTACCTATGATATGAAACTACGTTGTACCAGTACATACATGGACGAGTCCCATCATTCACTGTATAGCATTTTGAACAGCATCACAGATATAACTGGAACATTTAAATGATTTACCTTGTTGACAACAGCAGCGCATGTTGCCTGGACACTCGCACTCTTCGGAATCCTTCCACTTTCCAGTACAGCCTCCATTCTCCATGCTTGAATCGGGAAACATGCACTGTCCTGAGCACTTCGCCACGCAGGTTTCCGCGCCAGGTGGCACGCAGCAAAAGTATCCGTCTGGACAGCCGCACAGGGGGTCGTTAGACGGAGTGCCGACTTCCCCAGAACAGCCCAACCGACCTTCCTCCCAACACGTGCCGCTACAGTGTAGTTCACAGTCTGTTTCTGTGGGCGGGAAATTAAGACCACTCTTTTCTTAATTTTTCTCTGTTTTTGCCCAACTGTCATCAGAGGCAGATTGATGTACAAATATGAACCTAGACCCCCTATATAAGACTATCAGGATGTAAGTAGCTAAACTGACTCCAATCATCCTCCCAACATCATTAAGTGGATAACATAAGCCACAAGGCACTATGATCAATAACAGCAGACGACACTCACAGGGAGTGACTTGCATATTACTTACGTCTGAAGTTGTGAAAAATGCTGTATTTATCGCCAGTAGTTCTCAACAAAACATTTCCGCGAACCAAAAATGACCCAGATTGTTGCAGATAACCCAAATACTATACGTGTCACAAGATCTCAGGCGTTTCAGTAAAGTAAATGGCTATTGAGTATTGACAGCATCAAGCTGTCAATAACAGAATTTTTGCACTTTTGACAGGACCATACTGCTGTCAATAGCCTCAGGCCAAACAGAAACAATGCATCGATAAATCGCACTACTTTTACTAAATTCCATTCCATACCAGGTTCATCGGTCGGAATCATTGTCTGTGGCGGAGTCGGTGTCTCAGACATTGTCGTTAGCTCAGGCGTTGTCGGTGCTTCAGGCGGAGTCGGTCGCGGAGTCGGTCGCGGAGTCGGTGTCTCAAACGGAATCGGTGCTTCAGACGTTGTCGGTGTCTCAGACGTTGTCGATGTTTCAGACGGTGTCGTTGTCTCAGACGGTGTCGTTGTCGGACATGTACACTCAGGCAGAGCTGGCCATGGAGTCGGAGACGGTGTTGGCTCTGGTAGGAAAACAACATTGGGAGGATTCAATCTTTAATCAATCTGTTGTTACGCCAAAAAGAAATTACTCAAGCAACTGGATATGATTTTGGAAACGGTCAGACGGTTCAGCTAGTGTCCACTAGCTTTCGTCAGTGACTGAGAGACCAAAGGAGAAATGCAGTTTTATAAGCACAAACTATTGCAATAGTTAATTTGTGCTTATAAAGCTGCTCCGACAGATTCGAATTCCCATCGATTCCATCCAACGTAACAATCTAAGGATTCCCAAAGAATATAGGAAGCCTCTTACAGAGACTATTTCACATCCATAGCATGGAAGTGAGATACGTACTTATACATTCCAGTTCTTCCCCGACCCAGTTGCTATTATTGCACGTCAGCTTGTCGTCGCCACCGACTTTTTTGGACCAGGGATCGCAACAAAACCAACAAAACGCCCCGTGAATGTAGGGTGGCCCCGGGGGGAAACAGTCGAGTAAAGAGGCGCAGTCTGGCTCGGGTGGATCTTCACAATCCTCTAAAAAATAAAAGAACATTCCACGGAAAGAGTTCCTTATGGTTAGGAAATAAAGACTATTGTACATACATGGCACGAATGAAGGCATTAAAACCGTCAGAAAACGGTAGGTACCGTGACATACTTACTTTTACAGACCAGGTCAACCCCAATCCAGTTTCCATTATTGCAGGTCAGTGTGTCGTCGCCGCCTTGTTTAGTGGAACCGTAATCACATCGGTAGTTGCACACCTCCCCGTGTGTGTAGGGGGCGGCACAGCCAGCTATTGTCGTACAGTCTAGCATTGGTGGATCTTCACAATCCTCTGTCAGTACATGGAACAGAAAAGTACATCTATCAAAAACATCAAAGATTAACGAATTCTAGACAGAAAACAAACTATACATTTTCTTAGTTTATATTATCAACCTACGAGTCGTAATTTCATTGTTGCTGATTCCAATTTATTTGATACCATGTATGACTGGAAAGCATGAAACTCAATATCTTAATACTGCCTGATAAGCTCGAATTCCGATTTAAATCTAGGAATCTAATGTTCTCAATGGTTGTAAAATTGGAACCCTTTTTCATTATATTTCACATACATGAATGGAGGTAAACAGTAAATAAGTGTTAGGCACTGTGACGTACGTACTTTTGCAGACCAGGTCAACCCCATCCCAGTTTCCATCATTGCAGGTCCGCTCGAAGTCGCCGCCGTCTGCAATGGACCCGGCATCACATAGGTAGTTGCACACCTCCCCATGTGTGTAGGGAGCAGCACAGCCAGCTACAGTGGTGCAGTCTGGCATTGGCGGATCTTCACAATCCTCTGAGAGTGGGGGGAAAGAACATTTTAAACAATTGTTAAACCAAACATGAATTTGGTTGAAGTCTACATCATCAACCTGGCGATTTATACCCCTTCATTTCATTTTTTATTCGATACCAGCTTCAAATTTACAATGTAGTAGTCCATGGACCATTGGTCCAATATGTTCACACTGCATGAGGAAGCCTTGGCCTATAAGGGATAGTTTGGAATAGATTTGTATTTCAATGTAGCAATCTAAAGATTCGCCAAAAAAGCAGTTACTCAAGCAACTGGATATGATTTTGAAAACCGTCAGGCGTTTCAGCTTGTATCCACTAGCTTTCGTCAGTGCACTGAGAGACCAGAGGGGAAATGCAGCTTTATAAGCACAAACTATTGATTGATATGCAATTGAGTGAAGACAATTTTTTCATATCAATCAATAGTTTGTGCTTATAAACCTGCATTTCTCCTCTGGTCTTTCAGTTAATGACGAAAGCTAGTGGATACTAGCTGAAACGTCTGACCGTTTCCAAGATCATATCCAGTTGCTTGAGTAACTGCTTTTTGGCGTATCTTATGTCAAACCTTCATCGACAATCCAAAGATTCTCCGCGGTTGCGAAACAAAACAAAACAAGGCAACCTCCTCCTGGAGAGATGTCACTTACATGGCATGGGTGGAGGCGTGATAACCGTCAGAAAACGGTAGGCATCGTGACATACGTACTTTTACAGACCAGGTCTTCCCCGTCCCAGTTTCCATTGATGCAGGTCAGTGTGTCGTCGCCACCTTGTTCAGTGGACCCGTCATCACATTGGTAGTTACACACCTCCCCATGTGTGTAGGGGGCGGCACAGCCATTTACAGTGGTGCAATCTGGCATTGGCGGATCTTCACAATCCTCTAGCAGTGGGGGGAGGGGGAAGAAAATTTCAAACAATTTTTAAACCAAACATGAATTTGATTGTAGTCCACATCATCAACCTGACAAGTTATACACCTTTTATTTTTATTCGATACCAGATTCAAACTTACAATGTAGTAGCTCATGGACCCAACATGTTTACACTGCATCAGCAAGCCTTTGTTCATAAGGAATAGTTTGGGACAGATTTGGATTTCAATGTAGCAATCTAAGGATTCTCCGCGGTTGCGAAATAAAACTAGGAAACCTCCTCCTGGAGAAATTTCACTTACATGGCACAGGCAGGGGCATGGAAACTGTCAGAAAACGACAGATGCTGTGACATACTCACTTTTACAGACCAGGTCAACCCCGACCCAGATTCCATTAATGCAGGTCTGTGTGTCGTCGCCACCTTGATCAGTGGACCCGGCATCACATTGGTAGTTACACACCTCCCCGTGTGTGTAGGGAAAGGCACAGCCATCTAAACTGGTGCAGTCTGGCATTGGTGGATATTTACAACTCTCTGGTAGAAGAGAATAGAATAGACCATTCCAAAGTTAAGCAAACAAGAATTTATTCGGATTCTAATGTAGCAATCTTAGGATTCTCCGCGAAAGAAAACTAGGAAACCTCCTCCTGGAGACATTCACTTACATGGCATTGGTGGAGGCGTGAAAACCGTCAGGAAATGGTAGGCATCGTGACATACTCACTTTTACAGACCAGGTCTTCCCCGACCCAGTTTCCATTACTGCACGTCAGCTTGTCGTCGCCACCGACTTTAGTGGACCTGGGATCGCAACAAAACCAACAGGACGTCCCGTGAATGTAGGCTGGTCCCGGGGGAAAACAGTCGAGTAGAGAGGTGCAGTCTGGCACTGGTGGATCTTCACAATCCTCTGGTAGTACATGAAAAATAAAATAACCTTACAAGGAAAGAGTTCTGAAAAAGACGACTGCACTTACATGGCACGAATAAAGCATAAAATTGTCAGGAAACGGTAGATGCTGTGACATACGTACTTTTGCAGACCAGATCAACCCCGACCCAGTTTCCATTATTGCAGGTCTGTGTGTCGTCGCCGCCGACTTTAGTGGAACCGTCATCACATCGGTAGTTGCACACCTCCCCATGTGTGTAAGGGGCGACACAGCCAGCTATTGTTGTGCAGTTTGGCATTGGTGGATCTCCACAATCCTCTGGCAGTACATGGAATAGAAAAGTACATCGATCAAAAAAGATTAAAGTATTCTAGACAGACCACAAACTATAATTTTGTCTTAGTTTACATTATCGATCAGTTCGATTTCAATCTAGCAATCTAATGTTCCCAATAGTTGTGATAATGATATAGGAACCGTCCTTAATGAAATTTCTCTAGCCTCTACCGGGCTTCGGGAGATGGCTGGAAAGAGTTGGCCAAATAGAGACTGAGATAACAGGTCAAGGGAGTTGGTCCGCTCTAGAGTACATTCTGCCGTGCGCAGCAAAATGTAGGCTCTCAGGCCGGCTAACTCCACTGGTATACTATTCCCTTTATGTTGGCCAATTTCTGCTATTTTTCCAGCCATCCCAGGCGCCTGGTAGAGGCTAAAATTTCACAAACATGTATGGAGCTAGGGATGAAAACAGTAGAGATGCTGTGACATACTCACTTTTACAGACCAGGTCAACCCCGTCCCAGTTTCCATTAATGCAGGTCCGCTCGTCGTCGCCACCTTGTTCAGTGGACCCGGCATCACATCGGTAGAAACACGTATGTCCATGCTTGTAGGGGGGACCCCCGGGCAAACATAAGGTTATACTCGCACAGTCTGGCATTGGTGCATCCCCACAATCCTCTGGTAGTGCATGGAACAGAAAATAATATTTAAAAGTTTAACGGATTCTAGTCAGAATACAAAGTATACTTTTATCTTAGATTACATCTTAGATTAGATCTACCTAAGAGCCATACTTCTGTTCATTCTATTCGATACCATATTTGACAGGAAACTATTGGATTTAGTGGTTTATATGGACCCGAGATTGAACAAGGCATCTTATATATAACACACACAATAACCCAATATCTTAATACTGTATTACAAAGGCTTGGTTTAAGGGGAAATTCGAATTCCGACTTCAATCCAGCAATCTTATATTCCCAGTGCATGTTTGATTGTGAAATAGCTATAGGAATCATTTTTCAGGAGGTTTCACGTGTATGATATAGATGGAAGCAAGAAAATAGTGTTAGGCACTGATGAGACATACGTACTTTTACAGACCAGGTCAACCCCGTCCCAGTTTCCATCATTGCAGATCCGCCGGTTGTCGCCACCGTCTGCAGTGGACGTTGGATCACATTGGTAGTCACACACCTCCCCGTGTGTGTAAGGGGCGATACATCCATTCACGATTGTGCAGTCTGGCATTGGCGGATCTTCACAATCCTCTGAGAGTGGGTAGAAAAAGAACATTCCAAACAAACAATTTTCAAACCAAACATGAATTTGGTTATAGTCTACATTATCAACCTGACGAGTCATACTCTTACGTCGATGAAGGTTAGACATCCAGGCAATAAGATACGCCAAAAAGCAGTTACTTAAGCAACTGGATATGATCTTGGAAACGCTCAGACGTTTCAGCTAGCATCCACTTCCTTTCGTCAGTGACTGCTTTTTGGCGAGTGTCCCATCTCCAGGAAACGGTAGATGCTATTTCATACTCACTTTTACAGACCAGGGGGACCCCGACCCAGATTCCATTATTGCAGGTCTGTGTGTCGTCGCCACCTTGATCAGTGGATCCGGCATCACATTGGTAGTCACACACCTCCCCATGTGTGTAGGGGGCGTCACAGCCAGCTATAGCCGCGCAGGCTGGCTTTGGTGGATATCTACACATCTCTGGTAGTACATGGAATAGAATATAAAGACACAATTGCTAAAACAAACAAGAATTTAGTTGGATTCTAATGTACATGTAGCAATCTAAGGATTCTCCGCGGTTGCGAAATAAAACTGGGAAACGTCCTACTGGGCAGATTCTATCACCTATACGGAGGTGCGAAAACTGTCAGAAAACGGTAGGTATCGTGACATACGTACTTTTACAGACCAGGTCAACCCCAATCCAGTTTCCATTATTGCAGGTCAGTAAGTTGTCGCCGCCGGCTTTAGTGGACCTGTCATCACAGTGGTAACAACACGACGCATCATGATGATAGGGAGGCCCCGGGGGGAAACAGGCGTTACGAATTGCGCAGACTGGCATTGGTGGATTTACACAATCCTCTGGAAGTACATGTAATAGAAAAAGTTAAAATAAAAGAAAAACCATTCCAAGGAAACGTAGGTAACAAGCATCAGCGTAAGGGAGAATGTGGGACAGATTCGGATTTCAACCTAGCATTGAATCTAATGGTTCCCGACGGTTGTGGAATTTTATGCCTTTTCCCGAGAAGTTAGTAGAATATTCCTTAATCAGCGACTCTTTTTGAAAGGTAGAAACACGTACCTCCAAATTTTCGATGTCGACTGTACATCTTGAACACGGAGTGACCTAGTCTCGCGAGAACACGAGACCAGGCCACAAGATCTCGCGAGACTATGTCACTCCGTGATCAAGATGTACAGTGGACATCGACAATTTGGAGGTAAATGTTTCTACCTTTCAAAACGAGTCACTGATTAAGAAATATTCTACAAACTGATAATTCTACGTGACTGATGAACCTCTTCAACGATCTTCCCGAGAAGTTCTCACATGATGACATGAATGGAAGCGTGAACACAGTCAGAAAATGGTAGGCATACTTACTTCTACAGACCATGGGATTCTTATTAAGAGGATCACTCCAACCCCAAAGTCCATCATCGCATTCCACCATGTCGTCGCCGCCGTCTGAAGTGAACCCAGGTTTGCATGTGTAGGTGCATTTGTCGCAATGTGGGTAAGGCCACCCACAGCCGGCCCTGTCGACGTTAAGTGGCCTTGGAGGTGGAATAATACAAGGCCATCCAGCTAATAGGGAAAAAACATTCTTAAGACATAGTTTCTAGACTCATTCTGATCTGGACAACAACAAAAAATGGTCTTAGTTTATATATCACTTAATGATATGTTCAACTACGTATGGAGCTTCAAAGATTGAGGCCAAATTTTCAAGAAGGCCAGGATAAAATAGTAAAACTGCAGTTGCAATTGCTTTCCTTGTGGAAACGTGAAAACCAGCAGGAAATAGCAAGCACCGGTACCGTGGCATACGATGCTCGTTGAACATACATACCTCTACATCGCAGGTGGCCCCAAAACCCCCAATCCCAGAATCCACCGTCGATACACTTCGCAATTAAGGAGCCACCGGCATAAAAGGCCTTCTTTGCGCATTCATATATACATAAGGTCCCAATTGGGTAGATGGGACCTCGTTGGAAACAGATCCGTAGGACGGTGCGGGGTGGAATAGGTGGTGCAAAACAGCCTGGCAGTTCAACTAATAGAAAACAACATTTGAATAATCCAGCTTTTAAACTCATTCTAAACAGGAAAGAAGAACGTCGTCGTAGTCCACGTTAATATAATAGTATTAACCGACGAGCAGAAGACACTAACAACGGTCGATAACAAAAGATAAGTAATCATTAGTAGCCACTCCAGCTCAAGAAAATCTTTTCAAATAATTTGGTAATCATTAACATTTTTAATGTCTTGGGGCGGTGGGACTGCGTACTGGTATGTCAACTTTGTGTATTTAAATGTTAATTGTATTTTGTTGTGTGGCGCTGTTAATATAAGTTATAAACTTGAGTGCAACGCCACACCGTCCTTGTTATGTTTTGATGTTTTGATGAATAAAAAAAGATACGTACTCAGCGGTGGCGGTAGACAGACAAGGTAGACATCAGTCCAATTTCCCTCAACGCAGGTGGACGTTGTGACGTTACTGCCGTAGGCTTGCACGTACCCGTCCTCGCAACGGTAGCTACATGTCTCGTTAAGCTCGAAGGGGGCGCTACAGTCGCTTCGGACAGCGTTTTCAAAACTTGGTGGTTGAGGACAAGGTCCTAGGAGTGATAGAAAACAGACAGGATTTTCAGAGACGGAGGGCGAACAGAGACGGGGGGCGACACAAGTTATCTGGCACGTATGACCCGCTACTACGGTCACGTGTCTCTGACGTCACGTTCCAAGAGTAGACGGGTCCATTCCGTGAACAAGGTTGATGGAGTCAACCGAAAATTTGGGGTAAGTCCCAATACTTTGCTAGTTAGTGTTGGAAGTTAAAGCTTAGTCTTTATTTTCACGATACGCACCTGTCTGTATGGTTGTTGGAGGTGGCGTTGTTGCCTGAGGTGGTGTGGTAGTCGGTTCCGGAGACGGTGTGGTAGTCTGTTCTTCACATACCAGTACGCCCTCGCCTTCTTCCCCGATCAGGATCCATTCTCCACCGCGGCAGGTCAGCCTGTCGTCGCCGCCGACGCTGGTGAACCCGTCTGCGCATTTGAGGGTACACTCCGCCCCGTGGTAATAGGGTGGTGCCGGTGGGTCACAGGTGTTTAGGACGGTGTTGCCTGGAGTTGATGGTTCTTCACAATTCGCTGCAAGTGATAGAAAAGGACCGTTTCAGTCATGAGAAATAATTAATCCAAATTTACCCTCGAAACCGTTTCGCCGTTTTTTTTTACTTCGCACTACCACGGATTTCGATTTTGGAGTGTGTACACGTACCGCTAGGCTTGGGGACAGATTCGAATTTCAATCTAGTAATATAGCATTAGAAAGTCTCCCAGAGAAAATAAAGTTCTCACACATGGCATGGATGGATACGCTACTCTCCAAGCAGAGGTTGTGGGGGAATGATCGTTACCTTTTTTAATATGGCCATTTTTTGGTCGGTATCCCCACCGGTCGGTGGCCGGCGACCTTCTCTGTCCAATGGATACTGCCTGGCCAATTTTATACTGTATTTTTGCCACCAAAAGGGATCTGCTTGGAGATTAGGATACGCGAAAAGTGTCAGGAAATGGTAGGCATCGTGACATACGAACCTTTACAGAACAGTTCCTCCCCCTCCCATGCTCCATTATTGCAGGTCAGGCTGTCATCTCCGAGGTCTTTAATGTACCCGGTTTGGCATTGGTAGTTACACACCTCTCCTTGTAAGTAGGGGGCGTCACAGCCGTCTCGAATGGTGCCGGATGGCATTGGTGGTTCTCCACAATTCTCTGTCAATGATAGAAAAGAAAATTCAAAGCAAACCATTTCCTACCTAATTCGAGACAGAAAACGAACAATAATTTGGTCGTAGTTGACATATCATTATCAAACGATCAATGTTCATTTCTAAAACCTAACACGAATTCATGGAAGAGAGATCGAATAAGGCATTGCGTATGATACATATAACCAATGAGGTTAACCACCTTGATGCTCTAACCGTTGCGCCACCGACGCCACTTATTTCACTCGAAGAGAAGCATGGAAACGGTACAGGCAAATTGATAAACGTACCTTCGCAGACCAGGGGGGTTCCGGTCCAGGTTCCATCATAACATCGCAGCATCTGGTCGCCACCGACCTGAGTGCAGCTCGGTTGACATTGGTAGCTACACGTTTCTTTGTGTTTGTAAGGTGAATTACAGTCCCGACGGGTGGTGCAGGGTGGGCTCGGTGGTGGACCGCAGTCCCGTCCCACTGATTAAGAAACAACAAACTGTCTGTGCTAGTACAGCTACGTCTACCAGATACCTTTGACCCAGTGTTGATGTCAAACTTCAAAGAAGCCACGTGACAAGCCTCACTGGGTCAGTCTACTGAGGAAGACCAGAGTGACTGGTCGAAAGCTCTAGGTGAGAGAATTTTTGTGTTGGATCTTAAGTTGTTGTTTTTTCAAACTCTAAACACGTCCTTAAACTGCATTAAGCAAACCAGTGATTGTCTATCAACTACGAAAGCGCGTAGTTAGCGTAGTAGCGACTCTTTTTCTGCTACTACACAAATGCTGTTCTTGTAGTACCAGACCTAGTTTCTAAAAGCAAAAAGTAGACATGGCATCCCCTGTAACGTTATCTTTGTTGTTGGATTACTAAATGGCATACATACGTCTACAGATCAGGTGGCTCCCAGTCCACTCTCGATTTAGGCAGGTCCTCTCAGCATCGCCGCCTACTGGAACGTAGTTCTTTTTGCATCTGTAGGTGCATGTCTCACCATGGTTGTAGGGATACTTACAACCACTCCGTTCGGTGCGCTTTGGGTTCGGTGCTTTTTGACACCCTAGCAGTGACAGAGAACAACAGTTGAAAGACACATTTTATCGTACTCATTCTTTACTTGTACTTCAACAAGAAAACAAGTATTATAAAATAAAGACTAAGCTTAAACTTCCAACACTTAGATTACGGAATTTGGACTTACCCAAATCTAAGTGTTGGAAGTTAAAGCTTAGTCTTTATTTCATAATGACTTGTACCAACACAGATGAACTTTCATGCTAAGAAAATAACTATTTTGTGTTAAAGACCAGTCATACTCGTGTCCAAGTCCTTATTTCGAAACTAGATTTGCCTGGAAAACTTTAGATTTCATCAAAGTAGGTATTTTACACAAAAGTAGTTCAGTAATGGGATTGTATAAGGCATTACGTGTGATACATCTAACAGATGTTTTTGTAGTAGATCTGTGAGGGGATAAAACAGATATACCGCCTCCGTTTTAACGTCTTCGATTTCAAATAACTAACACAAAATACTTGTTTTCTTGTTGAAGTACCGGAAAAGTCACCAAATTCGACGGTTCTAGCGCAAGCCGTTCGGGCGATATCCGAGATGAAAGTGAGCGCGGGCCTCAAAAGCCCCCCTCCCCATCCCGTCTGAATAGGGTTAATGAAACCGATATAGGGTCACAGTTCAGTTCATCCTCAGTGAGGTGACAACAGTTCATTGTATAAAAAGACACATTACAAGGCCCAAAAAGTCCGATCCACAGAGTCTGCTATCTGAGGAGGCTATAAATTATGGTAACACAATAATTTTCACACTTGACATGTATGAAAAAATATGGCCAGAAAGGTATAAGCGCATTTTCAATACAACAGGTTGTTCTCCTTACGTTTCTTACGCTGAGCTGTGCCCAAATCCAGAAGAATGGCTGATATCACAAGCACTAGCAACACGCAGTCCAGGAACCTGAAAGTAGAAAAGAGTACAACAAGTTGAGCCTTTATAAAAAAGACTCTGGCGACGATTTTTTCTGTAATATGTTGGTTGGTGGCCCCGATTTTATTTGTGCATCTCCCGTCAACGTACCAGCCCACCCCAGGTAAATATCGTACAATCCCTGGTGTCGGTCAGTGACCTAAATTAAAACACAGCATGTCTCTCCTATACCTTATGGTGACCGTGCCTCTGGACCAAGAGGTTGGGAGTTCGAATCCCGACCAAACATACACAATGTCGCATACCTTGCTAACTATATTCAACATGCATTCAATTTAGCTTGATAAACAACGGATGTATTTTGAGTTTGAGTATTGCATGCGGCTTCTTTCCACCATCATCAACCTCGGCTGACGTGTGCGGGACGGTACTCGTGTTAGACCTGTAACACTTTTAAGAAACCATATTTCTTTGTTGCCATGTATTGCCTGGCGTAAATTAGCAGGTGCTCAGGTAAAGTGCGCCTCACCTCATGCGATAAAACCTGAGGCACGGTCAGAAACTGACTGGGATCTATATATCTTCCCGACAGCGGAATGGTAATAGAATCATAACAAGATATTTTTTACCGATAGCTTTTACCGAGATCCGTGGTATGATTCTTAAAAAATTTTGGAAGTCCATTCTTACCGACATACTCATACACCAGGTTCTGTTTCCAACAGCCCTCTAAAAATGTTTCTTTGTTCCTTCTTTGTTCCGTGTTTACCAAATAATTGTCAGGGGCTATTTGTCAGTCTATTTGTCAAACCCTGTCAAGCTGGGCAGAAGGTACCTCCCTAAAGGTGGGGCTTACGGTACAATATTCTTTAACTACACACATTTACAGCATATGGCAGTTCTAAATTTCCATAATGGAAAATGGTTGCTAAAGATGGTCCGATACACCACCCTTGGCTGTCTTATACCACCCTGGGATCTGCTTGGAGATTAGTCAGTTGGTGCCTATATAATACAGAGTTCTTCACTAGTTAGTACGAATGAAATTCCTTTGGCTTCTGGGGCGGATCCTAGGTGGCCAATCCGGACCGTGTGTGAAGGCGGGGATACAGATAACGAGGCAGACAATAAAATATCATTGCCAAGGCCACGACTGAATGATTATTATTGCATGTGGTGGAGCTAGAAATCTCCATTACAATAATAGGAAAAACAGATTATTATTTTATAAACGCGTGCCTGTACATAGTGGAATTTACAGGATGCATGGAGGAAGTGTGAGGCTGTATACATGTCAGCATTCTTCCCCGGCGATATGATGATATACTTACTATAATAGTTACTTTACTTTGGTCAAATTCCCGCTCGAACCAAACAAAAAAACACTTTCCACTTCACTCTATATTCCTCCATCAGAGACTGTAATTTACGTCTGATGTGAGGTTGTCAATTAAGTTACTCCTAGGACTTCTTTGACCTATCCTGGGTTCCCAAAGAAAGTATAATTTCTTTTCTCTATGTGATCTGTTTGGATAAACCCACTCCTCACCGGCACCTGGATGGGTGGTGTATATTACACTGAGGTAATAGATACCCCCAGTTAAAGTTACTGTTATTCTAAGATAGGCCAATAGGATGGAATCTAGGAAACAGGATACTGCTTTGCTTCAGAGGCTGTGCTCTCTGGATAACTGTCCATGGTGGGGGATGGCAGATGGCAATAATTAATCACGCCGGACACCTGGATGGGTGGTGTATATTACACTGAGGTAATAGATACCCCCAGTTAAAGTTACTGTTATTCTAAGATAGGCCAATAGGATGGAATCTAGGAAACAGGATACTGCTATAGGGGGCGGAGCTTCCATCCTTTTGCTTTCTTTCTCACAAAAGTCTAAACCAGTCAGGCTGTAGCTGTGTGGTGGAACAGGCGTGTGCTCGGTAGGGAACTCTTGGCAAAAACTCTACAGGCATGACACTGACACATCGGGCTACCAGTTGAGCCGGCGGGGAAAACTATTAGATCCCCCGTAGAGAGTCCGGCCCCAACCACGTTAAACTGGATACGACTACGAGGCTATGGCCACATCAGCCCAGTACACCGGGCTTTCAGGATCTGGTCCTGTACGAAAGACAGCGCGGATGGACGATGCTTGGCGGCCGTACAGTCCTTCCAGCACCGCAGAGATATCCGGCAGCCCACGATGGTTTAATAAAGGCCTAAGGTAAGCTGAGAGGTATGTTTCACCGTATATTATTTTGTACTTCCTTATGTTATTTGATGCGTTACATACCTGTAACAAATGTTGCGATTGTAGCCGTGACGTCTGTACCCCTGCAATTCTGTCGCCAAATAATCTAGTTATTTTTTGTATTTATAAACCCTTCCTTAAGAAGTTGTTAATTGTGGTTTTAAATGGGGTTACCACTATATGTGAAGAAGAATTACATGTATGACCTATGATTTGGCAATGTATTACAGTTTACGATAATGTCGACAGTAATTTTCCCCATAGTCATAGTACCATCGTGAAACAGTTCTTGTGATCTTGGGAAATTGTCCGTAGAAAAATTCTTTACGTCTTTTTTGAGAAAGTACAATTTGGTTGTGATTTGTGAAATATTCTATTACATTGAAGAATTCTTAACTACATGTTTTATGTTCGCTAGAAAGTCGATACTATCAGCGGTCTTAGAAAAATTTATATAAAGCCATATCTTTATCCAGAAATTGTACCCGAGGTTGACTAGGCTTGCCTGTCCCTGACCATTCCTGTAGTAGTAAGAGTATATTTTGACCTACACAGGCTACGTGTGTACTTTCACTTTTTTTCTCACAAAAGTGTCAAATGCCTGTTTCATGACAACTTAACATCATTCAACTTAAAACATTTTGTGTACCCTCCCAAATGTTTGTCTGATACTCACTGCTTTTGTTAGGTTAAGAGATTTCACCTATTCATGAGCTTGAATAGTGTCCGAATTCGTAGGTCATGCTAGTTCTGACACACGTTCCACCTACAGCAAAGCAATTCTAACCACGGCGTTCTAACAGATAGATACATATTTGGCTTTCTAAGGGATGTTCTACAGGCCCCAGCCATACTAGACATAAACCTCTTTTGACATACTAGCTATGAATCTTTCCATTTGACCTTTCTAGTTATTGTCATCATGTAGGCAAACAAAACCAACCCCGTAAACACCCTGGCATGCACTAATTGATTTGAGCGGGCGGGCAGTACCCAACGCACCGTACGGATACCAGGCAGTCTACGATGGTCTAACTGCCAGGCTATACTGAAATAAAATACTCTTAAACTTTTTATTACAATTATAATATTATGACGATATGGTTCTATTTCACGATTTGAAAATCTTGACGGTATATGACATAAATAAGTTT